GCAGCTTGTTATATATCCTTAAAAATATTTCTGGAGTATTTGTTGAGTTCTGAAATTATTTATTTCTTAATAATTTTTGTAGAAAAAGTTATTACTCAACTCATACCGAGATTTCGTTTTTCCATTTCAAAAATATCTTGCGCCAACGACCGCCAAGGTCTTACTGTTAATAATGGTTAGGATTTCTTAACCATAAACAAACACTGACTATACAGAAACGTTTATTGTGGAAGAACACTACAAACATAGAAGCCATATCGAGGGAGTATACATTGTTGTGATCACTGACGTCACATATGACAGTGTTGCCAGTAACATTGTTGTAGGTAGAATATACAATACCAAATAACATCAATTAATTAATTCCAACACACTCCCTCGATTGAAGCTTTACATAATTGAGAAATTTATAGAATAGAATAGAATAGAAAATTAAACTTTATTCTGGGACTAAGTCCCTTTAGAATAACAATGATGAGTTAATACAAAGTAAAGTACAAATCTGGACAAAAACTAACTTCTAAAAATTTTAATATAATATACATTATTTAAAAAGTATTTTACCAGTAAAACATAAAAAATAAAATATATATACAAATGAACATAAAATCTTCTCAAAATTACTTAATTGTGATGGAAAAAAAAAAAAAGAAGAGAAATTACATATTTATATATACATAACTACACAATAGGCTATCTAATAGAAAACTAACTTAATACAAAATGAAATAATATCTACAGTGGTTTACATAATAATATGCAGACACTAAGATAAAATGAAGTCTTACGATACTTGTGGTGTAATGGAAAAAAAATAAATAAATAACTAAAAGGAACTATTTATACGTACATTCTCATATTGGCACACATAAAGACAAAGATATAAAATATGAAAATATATACCCGGAAAAAAAAAAGCACAACCTGAGGAGAAGAGAAAAATAAATAAATAGTAAAAATAATAGTCAAACTAGGTGACAAAGATCATTGCTGTTTTATGTTAAAACTTAAACAGTAGGCACCACTATTTACTTCACGCAAATTCAGTTCATAAAATGAAATTTATGGTGGTAAATCTTCTGTTTGGAATGTAAGGAGATATTGGAAAAGGAGGTATTTGAAAGTTGACAGGGAAGAGGCATGGCGGGTGTTATGCGGCAAAGAATTCCAATAGGAGACGAAGCGGGCTAAGAAGGAACGTTCATAGGTTTTTATCCTGTGGAATATAGAGGTCAAAAACACGGGATCTCGTTTTTATTGAGTGGCCTAAGGGCTTAGGCTGGAGGAGACAACAGAAATAGGAAGGGTGCTGGGAGTTGATCGTTTGGTATAAGAAATTTCCAAGGAAGTATAGGCGGCGGGAAGAGGGAAAGAGCCACTTTGACTCGGCATATAGGTGGGACACATGAGACCATCTCGAAGTGCCGAAGACGAATCTTAAAAAACAATTCATGATTTTCTTCAGTCTGTCCTCAAGCTCCAACGAGATTCCACCGTATACCACACAGCCATAGTCAAAGTAGGGGAGAACCAATGAGGAAACGAGGAGCCTGCGGATAGGTTGTGGGAGATGCTGACGAGAACGATGAAATAATTTAAGAGTACCAATAGACCTTCTGGAGATTTGAGCAATATGGGGTTTCCATGATAGGTTTTGATCAATGGTAATTCCTAAGTTTTTTACAGAGGAGGTGAAGGAGATTGGTTGGTCATTAATAATCAAGAAAGGATGGGTGGAAATAGATCTAAGGAGGGAGTTGGAACCTATAAGAATGGCCTGAGTTTTCGTTGCATTCAACTTTAATTTATTCAAGCTTGCCCATGCACTTATCCTATCTAGGTCTCTCTGAATATTCATGAACGCTTCTAATAACTCAGTGGGCGGAAAGGAAAAATAAATTTGGGAGTCATCAGCATATAGATGGTATGAACAATGGTGGATTGAACTAGGAAGGTCATTGATGTAAGAATTAAAAAGGATAGGAGAAATGCTTGAACCCTGGGCTACTCCATGAGACAAAGTGAGGAAAGAAGATAAGGGTTGATTTGGAATACTAACGGCTTGAGTCCTGTCAGAAAGAAAGGATTGGAACCATTGGATAGAACTATTGGAAAAGGATAGAGATTTTAATTTATTGAAGAGAATAGAATGGTCTAAGGAGTCGAATGCTTTGGAGAAGTCCAGGAGTACTAATACAGTCAGTTTTCTTTCGTCAATTGCAGAATGTATGTCATTTGTAATTTTAGCTAAAGCGGATTGAGTGGAGAAGCCTGGGCGAAAGCCAGATTGGAGAGGATCTAAAAGTTTGAACTCTTCGAGATAATTGGAAATTTGGGATTGGACTATTCTTTCGAGGGGTTTTGACAGATTTGAGAGGATGGATATTGGACGATAGTCTTTAGGAGAGGTGGGGTTAGGGATTTTATTAATTGGACGGACTAAGGCTTTTTTCCAGGATGTAGGAAAAACAGAATTTTGAAGGGAAAAGTTATAAATGAATAGAAGAACTGGAAGGATTTCAGGGAGGCATAATTTTAACAATTTGACAGGTATTCCGTCAATTCCTGTAGAATTGTATTGGGATTTCATTATGGAGGAAATGAGGTTCGTAGGAGTGATGTAGGAAAAATAAAAATTGTCACTATTAAATGTGGATGATACAGGAATATAAGAAGAGGCGGGAGAAATATTACTAGAGGAGGAGGATAAAAAGTAGGAATTTAAGGCATCAGGAGAGACTGGAACAGCTGTGGAAGAAGATGATTTGCAAAGAGATAGCTTTCGGAGTAAATGCCATTTGGATTTAGAATCGGGAGCTGAGGAGAAGGCTTCATGAAAGTAATTGGTTTTCGCTTGCCTGATCGTTGTTTGCGTCAAGTTCCGGAGTACTCTGAACGCTTCGTAGTCATCTATATAATATAACTAAAAATATATAACTAAAGATTCAATCGCAAACATTAATTAATTATTTTTTATATTTAACACTATATTTCTAAATTTAACAAATTTTTCTTTGCATAATGACTTTGTCAATATATCGGCAAAATTATCATTTGTGTTAACATATTCAATATTTATAATATTTTTATTAACTAATTATTTTATAAAATGATATCGAATATCTATATGCCTTGCACGTCTAGAATTTTCGTATGTGATTATCATAGCAACAGCACTTTTGTTATCTGCATAAAAATTAACACTCCCAGCACTTGTATCAGAATTTTCGGCACAACTCATGCACAATACCACGAAGATTTGTGCACGAATAGAGACTCACAGCTCTCGACCGATAATTTCCACCCTCAAACTATTCCATCGCTTCCGCCATCTCCTACTTTAACATACGCCTAGAATCCTAGTTTCCTCTCTCATTTTTACCCAATTTGACTACAGCTGTGTGGTATATGATGACCTCTCTGTGGAGATCCGCGATAGACTGAAAAGACTAATGAATAGCTGATTTGCAATTGGGGCCCCAAGATACATCCATGTCTCTTACCACTACACTGAGTTAAGGTGTCTTTTTCCCTCCTCCCAAAGACAATATTTCCTAGGTATATTCCTCTATCAAATCATCAATAATCATTGTACTTCTTAAGCCTACAACCTTCTCCAATTCAAATCCTCAGTCCATTATCTTTCCACAAGAACTCGATCTTCTAACCTTTATAAATGCCTTCTCACAGATCTGCCTTATTCCGAAACTCCTTTATTGCTGGCTCTGTCAATTTCTGGACTTCCCTCTCTTTCAAAATTCGGCATTCTCTCTCCATATCCACATTCAAAACCCTCATATTCCAATTCCTATCCCAAAAACAGTCAGACAGTTGCTAACCATTCAACAACATACATTTAGTTCAGGACATTCATTGCCAAATACCAATGGTGTTCTTTGCTAGGGATATTAATTTTCTTATAGGCTAAAGATTTTCCTACTCTTGATGTCACTGAACGCACCTATTGGTTGTTTATAACTATTATCTTTTATACACGACTAAATTCTTGCCTATCGTTACGTTAAGAAATGATGATGATGATGAAGTATTTATGAATTATTCAACATTTAAATGATAATGTATTTATATATTAATCAGGTACTTTATATTGTCAGGTTCAGCTTTCTGTTTTCCCAACAGAAACACAAAGCTTGTTTTAATGAATAATTGAATTTTTTTTTTTTTTCTTAAAAGTGTATACTGGTCTATCACTGCAAATAGTTTTAAGTGTCTTGTCATTGTGTTAAGTGTGTTTGTTTTGTATAGTTTCGTTTGTTTTGTATATAGAATGTTCACCTTATATTTTCTTTACATTATTTATTTTTTTCTATTGTTTTTATTTAGGCCAGATTTAATTTTGTTCTATTTTATTATTCTCAAGAAACTGTGTCCTAGAATAAAGTTATTTTCTATCTGCCTATTTATCTATCTATCATATAGAAAATTAATTGTAGATTGATAAAATTGTGGAATATTTACAAAAATTCTAGCAACTTTTATTTTTTGATCATAACCTTGACACTCTATCTGATCCTAGAAAGAGTATACAATTTTATTATTTCATATTTCAAGTGAATGACTTGTATTTTTTCCTTCACACTTGTGTTTGATGACAAGTATATTTTTTCTGAATATTTTTAATTGTCACTTGAGGAATGGGTCAATTTAGATTATATATCCTATCTTATCTTTGTATAATATAGAAAGATATAATAATAATTTTAAAAATATAACTGTCATTTATTTTTTCAATGAGCCAAAAAGAATTGTGAATCAAGAGAGGTTGATTTCCTTAATACACTTTTTTATCCATTTAGATTTATAATTACAAAATATTGTTAAATAATGTTTAATCAAATTCTATTTAGTAAATGTATGATAGAAATTTATGTTGATATTTAAATTGCTCTCACATGCCCCAATGTGTACATAAACACATGCCCACAGACATACACTGCCACATTTCATATGCCAATTAACATTAAATATTTGTTTTAGAAATGGGTTGTTTGGTGAAACTGTCATTAATAGTTTTGGTATTGGCAGTCGTCATAGGATTTATATTTATCAAATTTCAAGAAATCAATGAAATACCAAAATTAAAATTGGAGTACTGGGGACCAGGTAAAGAAAAAAGTGATGATAAAACAATAAGGCCATTCAAAATCAGCATTCCAGCATCAGTAAGTCTATTAGGATAATAAGTTATAAGAATTTGTTTTTATAGAAAGCATAAAGTATAGATGAATATTTGTATGCATTCGATTAGGAATTAAAGGAACTAATGGAAAAATTAGACAAAACAAGGCAATTCACTCCCCCACTGGAAGGTGTTGGTTTCGAATATGGTTTTAATACTGATTACTTGAAAGATATTCTTCAATTCTGGAAAACTAAGTATAATTGGACAGAGAGAGAGGCCTATCTTAATAGTTTTCCTCAATTCACAACAGAAATTGGAGGCTTGGATATCCACTTCTTGCATGCAAAACCAGATCCTGTTACGACAAAAGGTAAGTATGATTATTTAATACATCGGTAATATCATTAAGAGCAATTTATTTCACAATTTTTTTCATTTAGTAATGTTTACATTTAGTTAAGTATTTTATTTTCATATGTTGAAGTGATTTTCATTTTTTTTAAATTAAGTTATAATAAAAACTAATTATTATTTTTTTGTCACATCCTACAGGCAAACAAGTTCTGCCATTGCTTATAATGCATGGATGGCCAGGTGCAGTTAGAGAATTCTACCACTTGATTCCATTGTTAACAACACCTCAACCAGATTTTAATTTTGTCTTTGAAGTAGTTATTCCTTCCCTTCCTGGCTACACATTTTCACAAGGAGCTACCAAACCTGGCTTAGCTTCAGCACACATTGCAGTTTTGTTTGATGAACTTATGTCAAGGCTCAATCATGATAAATATTATGTCCACGGAGAAGATTGGGGCTCTGCTATTGGAAACAGTATGGCTATTTTAAATCCTAATAAGTGAGTATGTTTAATTATATAATTTTTTTTAATGTTCTTCTTTTAAAATCAATTATTTTTATTTTCTTTAATACCTAAAACCAGGAACTGAAAACCAGCTATCAGCCCAATAATCTCTTTTCTTTATATGAACATAATAAAGTCTGGAACGTACTTCAATGTTAGTTTTTCATCTAATGATTGAAACTTGTGGAAATCCCAAACTTTATAACTGCTCACCTCAACAATGAAGATAATTTCTTACTTTATTATATTAAAAAAACTTTAATTTCTTCTAACCATTTGACTTTTCTTGTTACTTTACATCACATTGGCCTTAAAGATGCTTAAAAATCCAGTGAAATATTTGCATTCCACGTGTCTCACAGACTATTATTTAATTAAAATAAAATTAGTCTTGACATGGACATTTCGATTGTATTTGATACAGGCATATCAAATATTTCCTGAGACACTGTTGTTTAAACCACAATCATTACAAGATTATATAGCTGACAAGGAATTTCTTTCCATCTTTTCCTTAACCCTTTGGCCAAAAGTTCATACCTTCAACTATTCAACTGTTGATTTTATAAATAAGGCAGGCCTGGCTTTTTTTTATTAAATTATTGTTGTATATTCCACCCCTTCCTACATCCATCCCTCCAATACCTTCCCCACCTTTTTATCCCATATATTTAATCATTTCCCATCCATCCAGTTCTCTAAAAATTGTAATGATTGTCTCTTTAAATATTTATATTAATGATTTCTTCCTTTTTTCCAAGTTTGGTTTGGTCAAAGTTGTTACCTTGGCTTTTGATAGATGTATGGAATGAGATGGTAGTATTGTTATTATTGTGAAATAATTATTATTATTTCATATTTATATAATTTTTAAAAAATATATTGATAATAGCAGTTACTTTGTAATTTATTATTATTTTTTACTCTGAAACACTGCAGTCTACAATTCTTTTCCATAATTTTGTTCAAAAAGAACTTGTCCCAGTATAAACCAATATTATTATTACTATATTGTCATGATGCGTAGTGCAATCAATTAGACTTGTTTCCAGAGTAGGATTGTCAAATTTTTCATGAATGACCCTGTGTTCCTTTGTGATCTCTTGAACACTCTCTGCTATTCCTTTCATCATCTGAACAACATTTAGGTACTAATAGAATAATATTTATTTGTTTTTTAATGAAAAAATTAAATTGCAAACTAGCATGAATGGGTATTAAAGTGAACATAATTAAATTTAAAAAAAAAAAAAAAGGTGATATCATATCAAGAAGAAAATTTTGTAAAAAAGCAAATATTCCTCTAATCTGAAGAGTTTTATTTTACAATTCTGAAATATATTATTTATTTATTTATTATTCACAATATATTTTATTTTGTTGTAAGGATTCTTGGTTTCCATTCCACTCTATGTGCAGCTAATACTCCAGGAGCAAGATTTCGTACATTTATCGCTTACTTATTTCCAAAACTGTTTGTTGATGAATCGATGCAAGAGCAATACACAAGACAATTTACAGATTTTATTTTCTTAGAGGCAGGATTTCTTCATATTCAAGCAACAAAACCTGATACAGTAGGTAAGAATGATTTTTCTTTGATCTATTTAATAAGAATTCAACTTTTTATTTTGAAATGTCATAATTTTGGAAATTAGTTGAAATCTGATTTGATTTAATCACAAGAATATGAGCAGAAAAATTCTGCGATACTATTTTTTTTTTTTAATAATTATCCCTCAGATGATGTATGCTACATTGATTGAACAGGGAATACCAGATATGTAATGTCCATTTCCAAAACATTCAATTAAGTTCAACTTGGAAATTTTTATTTAAATACAGATTAGTCTAGTACTCTACCTTTACCTTAAGGTGTACCTCAAAGTTCCTCCATATCTTCTATTGCTTCTCCAATCTTCATCAATGATCTTCCTCTTTCTATCCAAAATTTCACTCTACACAATGATTGGAAACAAATAACAGAATAAGTGTCATTCTCAATAAGCTCACATCAAATTCAGAACAGACAAAAGCTTTGATGATCTTATCCTCCTCTCTCCTTAAATCTATCTCTGGACCTTCTAACCTTTTCCTCAACAATACTACCACCTCATTCCATACATCTATCAAAAGCCAAGGTAACAACTTTGACCAGACCGTTTCTTGGAAAAATTAAAACTTCCATATTTCCTGCCAAACCATATCAAGCCTCAAACAATGTTCTCATTATCTCCTCCCGCTTGAACACTAGTCTGAAGGGATGAAAATTTATCTCGGAATAAAATTATTATGATTGGTTTTTTAACTGCCTTCCCCCATGAGTACAACCGAAAATTACTATTGTGTTTTAAGTTAAGATGCAAAACAAAAAAGTTTTCGAGCATCAAATTACTGACCAGTTGATTTGCTTCCTTAGTTATTCCCACTTTGACTATCGATGTCTGGGGTATAGCGGGCTTGTTTTGAACCCTAATAAAATTTATTTTCAAGAACAGCAAGGATGTGCATGAAACAATATTATGCAGAGTTAAAGTCTACCCATCTTACTGGCGGTCATTTCTTTGTGTTCTTCCAATTCCAAGTGATTAGAACACCTCACCCCTTATATATCCTATAGAACTTGCAATTTAAATCTATCCTATCCATTCCCGTCCTTCTGTCTTCTACATTCCTTCCCATCAAACTGTGTCCTTCCTAACCCAAGCTTCCTCCCCCTCTATGGAATTCTATCCCACCTACCATACTTCATAGCTGCCTCCTCATTCAAATCCCTTATTTTCGACCTCCATTTCTTCATCCCATCTGAATAATGTTATGTTATAAGCTTATTCATTTGCACAATGTTATTCTCATTACTCAAATTAGTTTGTATTGTCTTTGTTATTTTCGCTTCTTTTCTTTTAGTCTTTTCTTCTATGATATATTATTAAATCATTTTTTTCTATACACGTAATACTAATGAATTCTATTTATCTTGAGGATAAAGAAAATACACTCATGGCCAACAGGATATGTACATATAATTTGTTAAATGAGCTTCATCTTAAAATGATAGATATTTTTCATTTCATTTAAAACAGGAAGATTCCCTTTCTATAATTTTTTTTTTTATTATTAACAAGATGATGACAAAATCATTTCTAATACTGAATGCTTATACAATTAAATTGTATTCTCCTCACTAAAAATGAATAAATGTACAATTTCTTTTTTTTTTTCATTTAGGTGTCGCTCTGAATGATTCTCCAATAGGTCTAGCTGCATATATTCTTGAAAAGTTTTCAACTTGGACCAATAAAAACTGGCGATCTCTACCAAATGGCGGTCTCGAGAATTTAAACAAAGTTGAACTGATTGATAATATCATGCTATATTGGTTTACTAAAAGCATTACAACATCGATGAGGTTGTACAGTGAACAGTTTAGTAGAGAATTTATGAGTTTAGGTATTGATAGGCAAGTATACATTATGTCATGTTCATTTTTTTTTTTTTTTTTTTCGAGAATAGAAAGCAAACTTTATTGCAGGACTAAAGAAAAACAAACATATACATATAAACAAAAATATAACGGCCAAAAATTAGATAAATAAAATTCATTTAATATTTTCATAGTCAAGAGCAAACATCAGCAGCAGCTTTCTCATCATTGTTGAGAGCCAGCTTCCAGCGGACATTGAGAGGATATTCCAGTCCGTTTTTTTCTGCCTGGGTACAGAGATCTCCCAAGCACTCGCCAAAAGAAGGCTCTTCTTAACTGGCTTTGACACTGCCTCCTTTCCTCTGCAAGTAGAAGCTACTGTTCCCTACTTATCTTCTACCTGGGGAACTTTCAGCATAGTGCCCACCTTTGCGCTCTGCACATCAGGTTAGGGTGGCTAATTCTTTTCAAATGCCTTGAATGAGAACTTGGTAATGCCGTACGTCACCATCAGATTCTTGCTCTCAAGGTGCTGAACGCTGGACTCGAGAATTTAAATGATTCTGTATAGCCCATTCTTTTCTGCCTTGGTTCTCAACACCTGTCAACTATCTACATCTGAGGCCCTATTATTTTTAATCTGGAAACTCCTTAAGAGTAGGTCCTCTGGAATCTTCTCTCAAGGGAAGTATGTCCTAGCCCTGAGAGCCTTTTTGTTTGAGCTCATCCCAACTACCAGTGCTAAGTTGAACCCCCACTGATAGTGAAGCCCTTCACCACAATGGAAATCTAGTCCTTAGTGGCCTGATCATCACAAACGATCATACAACCCTCCAAGACTGAGCCACTAAACTCGGGAACGATGCCACCCACATCCAGTTGACAAATAAAGCTGATCACCTAGAATCTTACCTGCTCACTCTGATCTCTAGCTATCATAATAGACAGATATTCACAAGCAATAATCGTCACTTTACTGCCTCCAGTAGCTCCTTGTAGTTTCCTCCAGCTGGTCATCAAAGACCCCTCTCACTCGTCCACAAGTCCAATCAGACTCTCTGAGGAACACCACAAGGAGGTGATAGTAGACGTTGATAGGGATAAGAAGGACTGGGTAGTCACAAGCTGTGGTAGACCAATATTATTGCTTGATCATTCCAAAAGTAGTGGGAGAGATTCCTTCACCCATCTTCCTATCCAGCCCTCCTGTTACCCTACCCATTTACCACTTCCCTCCCCCCCTCCGATGGTTGTTTTCACTTTGAACTAAATACTATGAACTGAATAATTTGAAGGATGTATTTCTTAATAGATGTTAAGCCTGAAATTTTTTTGTATTTTTATAAATCATTAATCAATACAAATTAATTAATTAATTAATCATTACAATAATGGGAACAACTCTCTTTCATTTTAAAAGCTTAAATCGTAAACATATGACTTCCTGTCCTACAGTATCCTTTAATAACACCCCACTTATCCCTGTTGAACAAATACAATATCTTGGACTCCACCTGGACAAACGTCTCACCTGGAATCCTCATATAAGACTGAAATGACAAGAAACTGCTCGCCGTTTCCGCTTACTTCAACACTTACGAGACAAACGCTATAAACTTCCAATTAATTACAAAAGACTAATATACATGACTATACTAAGACCTATTTGAACTTACAGAGTTGAGCTATGGGGCTCCACTAAACCATCAAATCCTTCGTAAAATCCTAAATGCTCCTTACTTTGTCACAAATAAAATAATCCATAATGACCTTAATGTACCATATCTTTCCGATTTGGCCTAATCTAGATACCTATCCTTCCATAATAAACTTCATAACCATCCGAATCCTCTCGTTTCTATCCTTGCTTCCTCTTCGATTCCTGATAACCCTCCGAGGCATCTGAAAAGAAGATGGCCCCGTGATCTCCTTATTCAGACATATTATTAGAGTGCTACCTGTGGGTGATTTCTCAACAATCGTTTTCAAGTGATTATATTGTTGTGTACACATTTACTTGATGTATTTATATTGTAAAACAGTTGTAAATATCTTGAATAAATAGTAACAAAAAAAAAAGCTTAAATATTGATAAGTGTGGAAATGAATTGGCCAGTTTTCATATTTTATGCAAACATTATGTAGATTATTAATTACAAAGTTATTAATTCCTAAATTCATTTTCAGAAATATAAATACTGTTCCAACTGCATGTGCCTGGTTTAAGAATGAATTATTGTATTATCCAAAATTTGTGTTAGAAGCTTCTTATAAGAATTTAGTTCAAGTCAGCCATTTTCCAAAAGGTGGACACTTTTCTGGATATGAGGAGCCAAAATTAGTAGCAGATGATATTTGGAAGTTTGTTAAAACTCTTATTACAAAATAAAAGTAGCGAAAACCAAAGAGATTTTAGATCAATTTATAATTAGAAAAGAAAGGACACTATAAATAAATGAGCCATATTCCCCACTATTTTATTTTTAAATGAGGTACTAAAAAAATTGTAAAATAGAATGGAATAGTATGAAAACAATTTTTTTTTATCTCTAAAGCACTTGACAAATTTAAATTATGGAATTAATTTTTATGTGGATCCTTGAACCCATTGGTCCCAGTACTATGGGTCAATTAACTGCTCATATTATATTCTCCCCATAGGCAAAAGATAGCAGATTATCATCATTTCTTATTTTCTAGGCGATTCAGAATGTTTGAATATTGTATTTAATCCTAAAACAGTATGATGCCTTTGGATGCGATCTCTTCTCATTATCTCATTCTAAAGGTTCATAATCTCATTTTCACCTAGGAAGACAAAAAAATCCCCAAGAAACAAACATTAACAATAATATGTTGAGAGATAAACATTAATATAGTAATTACTGTGGTTTAGTCCTTTCGTGTTTATATTAAATGCTATTGAACATCCTCATAGAAAACTTATTTCTCTCGCTAAAAGAGAGTTTGGATGAGGCAGGTCTAGTGCTGACCATATATTTACTTTGAGAATGATATTATATCAGAGTTAAGAATGTAAAATCATTTTTCACCAAATCTTCATGGATTTTAAATTTATTTATAATGGTGTAATCTAATCGGAACTCTATGAAGATAAAAAAAATGAATGATCCTAAAAAATTCTCAATTCAACGTTACATGCAAGAGGATATTTCTGCAGCCACAATTTTTGTTTATGTAATCCAAGAGAAAAACCATTCCTCATTACATTTCTGTAACAATGTTGCACTGCCATTATTAATTTTGCTTTGGATATCAAACTTACCAACCTGTCAAGTAGTAATTGTTGGTTCATTTGTAGTTACAGGATGATAGTTCATAGCTTGCTATTTTCAATTTTCCCATGAGCTCTTCCATTTTGGGTCACTTACATCTTGATCTAATTTAAACTGGCCTAATAAAGGTTACTAATATAAATACAGTTACTAGCTTTGCTGAGAATTTTTTTTTACCAGTTTTGGTATCAAAATTGCCAAGTGGCAACTGTTTTGCATTTCTTAAGGGATTATAGCTGAGATGCATTGTCAAAATAATGCTTCTTACTATAGGATAGATATCAAAGAACCTATGTATAACTGTAATAAAAAGAATGATGAGTATCAGGTATAAATGCTTTTGAATTAAGGAGAAACAATCTGTATTAATCGTTGCTTCTAACGTTAAATTAAGAATTATTTAAGGCCATTCATTTTTTTTTTTTTTTTTATCTTGATAGAGTTCTCATTAAATTACACCATCATAAATATGGGTCGGATCTAACTCAATATTTTTTTGTTGAAGTTTTTTTAGGAATAACTACACAATAGGCATGTTTGTAGTATAATAACAATTATCTTCCATCCTACAGAATAAATCATTCACTAATCTCAGAATTAAGGTGTTTTCAATTTGGAGATTGGCAAACTTTTTTTATTTATTTAGGCACTAAAAATTCATAAATAAATTCCTATTTGCTTTCCACTTGAATTTTAAGATAATATCATCACAAAATCTAAAACAAAAGGTGACCTATAAAAATATTGGGCCATTTGGCTTGACCTCCACTCCCAGAATGTCAAATTAATGAGATTATATAGTCCAAACAGCCTAATATTTTTGAAAGGCACCATTTTTTTTTTTTTTTTTTTTTTTTTTTTTTTTTTTTTTTTTTTTTTTTTTTTTTTTGTAATAATATCTTACAATTCATGTGGAAAGCAAAGGGTATTTATGAAATTTTAGTACCTAATTAAGTAGACAAAGTTTGCCGACCTCCAAATTGCAAATGTCCCAATTCCAATAATTTTCACAAATAAAATATTTGTAGGTTACGATGAGATGAAGGTATTTACGAAGTTTTAGGCGGATGTTAATAATTTGATAAAAATTATAGTTTCATGAACTATAATTTTCTTTTGATGTGACAGTTTGTGATTTTAAATTAAATAATTATATATTTGAAGTGTTTTTGTTTTTTTTGTAAATTCATTAATCTATTGTTATGTTCTGATGTTATTATGAATTTATATTTTATAATTTCTAAAATAAAAATTGAATTTTAGAATTTTTTACATTATGATTGCTTTTTTTTAAATGACCAATATGACACATACTTATTATTACTATTTTAATTTATCAATATCCAATATTTCAAAAAATTACATTTTTAAAAATAAATGCTACACAAAATTAACTTCTTTCTCAAACTATTTATCTAATAATATTTTTTTTTTACTTTTCTGTAACTTCTTGTTCCACTAGGAAAAATACAATTCAATCAAAATATATTATAAGTTAAATTACTGGATTCTTTAAATATAGTCCAATTTCTGAAAAACAAAACATTGACATCTGTTTATATTAGACTTGATGTCAGAGGGTTCAGGGTACATCAGATGCTTTTAAAATCCATATAGTAATCAGCTATGCCTAGGGTGATCATCAGAGGAGAACGGTATGACATTAACAAATGGACCTTTCTCACTATATTTATAAGTATGTCTTATCATTAATTTTTTTTATAGAGTTTACTATTTCTGTCATCAAAATAACTTTAGCTATACTGAAACTAACTATTAGTAACACAGTGTAAATTAAAAGTACATGCACTCAATAAATGACACTTTATGTGGTATTTGTTTATTATTTATAAATGTGTGGATAAAATAAGTCAAGATTTCCTTATCCCAGAAATATCTTTTTTAATTAATTTTTTTTAACAACTAAACTGCATTAATAAATACTTATGGGAACATTTTTAATTAATGAGCATTTCAAAAAATCTGGTGCAGTGCATGTACACAAATCTTTTTTTTTTTTCTTATCCTCAGTTCCATAAAGGTTTGTTTCTTTCACATGGTTAACGCATTCCTTGTACTGTATCTTCGATACATTTTAAGGTCACAAATCTTTTGCTTACCATCTTATTTTGAGTAGAAATAAGTATTTTCACGTAATGGGAAGTAAATGTAAAAATTACATACTATATAACATATTCATCTAAAACTATTTTTTACCATATCTTTTTATCACACATATAATTTATCAAATTAATGCATTTCTTGTCACTGTATATTTAAATTATTTCATTATTACATTTATTCATACTATAATACATTAAGGTTTTAAAAAAATGTGATACTACCACAATTATATTTCAGCAATAATAATTGTGTGAGTGATTGGTCCTTCTAAAATCTAAATGTTTTATCAATTCAAATTTAATAATTAAATAAATGTCCACAAAAAATAACATACAAAATAAAGTTGTTTATCATACATTTATATATTTAGTTATAAGAGTGCCATGCTTTTAGTCTTGCGAGATGCTGCTAAATCTTTTCAGCCTGATAAGGATGCACAGGCAAAAAAAAATTGAGATAGCACATGAATAGGCAGGAAACATTTTTTATCATTGTGTTTATTTTTATAGAATAGTTATATTTATACAAATTTTAGTTTTCATATTATCGTACTTTGTCTAATAAAATATTAACTTCTACCTTTCTTATGAAAACAAATATTTAGACAAAACTAATAATGTATATTTTTTTAATTTTTGAAAGCTTAGTAGCTCAGTTCATATTGGTTTAAAAAAAAAAAAAATGTTCTGAGAATATCTTTAAAAGAAATATTAGTGAATTTTGAGCTATTTAAGATTAAATATTTTTTATCATTTTATAACATTTCGTATCTTAGTTATATCAATTTAAAATGAAGATATTTAGTGTAAACCAAAAAAATGTCCGAAATCACAATGGATTTTCGAGCACTAATTCTTTAAATGTCAGAAACTTGAATTTTTTATATTTACCATACACCAAAAGATACAATAACAAAATTTTGGTACCCAACCTTTTGCAAGATAGATCTCTGTTTTTGTGCTAATTAGACTGAGCTGTATTGATTTTAGACTTTTGTTTATTGTTTTTTTGCTCTGGTGTTGAGGCATTGGCAGACCAACGAAGAGACTTTTGAGCTGAAGCCAGCCAAAATGGAAAAATATTTTTTTTTTTTCATTGGTCCATATTTGTTTTTTTGTGTGATCCAAGCTAAATATTTAAACAATTACAATGCATTATCTTTTTAAATAGCCATGGATATAGGCTACAAAATGTAATACCACTTAAATATTAAATAATATTTGTTTTCTTTTTGTTCAGGAGTAATTACTGTTATAAGAAAAAAAAATTTTCTCCAAAATTAAATCCTGAATCCATTACTGGCTCAAGTGATGTTGAATTTAATGGTTCTAGATACAATTTAAAGGAATTTTCTTCATTCATAATTGCATTTGACGAATTTTATGTCATCTTTTCTTTTTTTTTTTAAATGTGATTTGAAAAGTCCTTGTTTGTTTCTCTGGAAATATAGAAATGTCTAATAACTTTATGTTTTGTTTTTGTTTATTTGTGTTTACTTGTGTTAAAATCCTCAATCTGGCTTAAAGTTTTGACTCAAATTACAGTAAATTTATTTAAGTTCATAAACATATGTATGTTGTACTTATTTGTTATATTGCATGAAGCAGACTTCATCCAATTTCATGACTTAAAACTTACTAAAACTATAATAAAAATATATTGAAATTATTAAAATAAATGGGAGGTTGTAAAACTCAGATATTTTCAAAAGTCGACTTTTCAAGATGTGATGAATTGTGTTTTTATGATTTTGACAATGACGTCATGCCTTAAAATATAATGTTTTTGAGACTAAGGCCAGCCCTAAATTGAGAGCAGTGCAGATGAAGCAGAGGGGCATCAGATGACCAAGTTCAGAGCCGTCCCAGTTCAGAATATGCCTATTTTCGATCAAAGCTGGAAAATTAATTAAACCTTCAAATAAATAAATTTATTTAAATATTTAACTTCCCTGAATAAATCTATTTAAATAAGAGTATATAAATAAAGTTAATTGTATTTGTTATTTATGATTTAACAAATACTTTTATTTAGAAGAAAATTCCAAATAATAATAAAATTATCTCATTTAAAATAAAATCAATTATGCCATCACTAATAAGAAAAATATACTTTTCATTTAAAATTTCTTACATATTCAGTTCCATGTTGTGGTATTCGAGGATAGTCTCTCCATATTGATTTATTATTGATTAATTTTAACTTTTCGGATTTCTTTGATTTAGGGGTCTGTTATTACGTTACACGGGTAGTGTAGTTTTTTTAAAAACACAGTTTTTTTTTCATCTACACCTTCGTTTATCGATTGCATTAGTTGTTTATTATAAATTATTTTATGTTAGTGAGTTGTGATTTATAATTAATTATTTTATATATTTCTTCCATTTTATTTCTAATATTGTATAATTTTGAATTTGTCTGTTTTATTTCTACTTTTAAAGAATTATTGTAAGCATTGCATTAATACTTCTTTTTTTTTTTTTTCATGTTAGAAAGCAAATGTTGAAAATACTTTCAACTATTACGATATTCAACATACGATATAGTATGTTTTGGGATTTTTTGCATACAATTTCTTGTATTCACTAAAACACTTCATTTATAACTTTAACAAGTTTTTTTGAGAGATTAACTATTACCTTCATTGTATTATAATGTAATCCTCCGAAACCAAATAAGTGATTTTTAAAAAAAACTAAAAATCAAATCCATGATTTTCAATAACCTCATTAAATAAATGTTAATGTAAACTCAAAATTTTATATCATGAGTAATTAGATATTAATGTAGGCACAATTTAAATTGATCCTATTTAGAATTTTTCCACAATGTATTGACCATATAATAAGATCTATAATTATTAAACTACTGTTGATGCATTTACAACTTTTACAAGAGTAAATACAGCCATTTCCACTTTTACAAGGGTGAATATGGCGGTATTTATATTTACAGGTGTGAATACAAATTTAGTGAAAACTCTAGATCTGATATTATATTTAAATAGTTAGGTATTTATCATGTGTTTCTTCCGAAAAATCATCATGTAACTTTTTAGAAAATTAAATTAGTAAATAATTTTATGTAGTTCTCCTCTATGAAATCACGACATTATCCACTTACAATTAGTGTTGCAACTTTTGACTTATCGATGGTAGGCAATAAAAATCACATAACTCCATTTTAGTAAGTTTAATAATTAATAGTTGTACAATCCATAATCATTTATAGGTTAAATGTGCAGGTATACTTTCAAATCTCTATAGGCATATACAGCTCAGAGACTGAAGTTAAATAGTTTACAAAAACAGATGAAGTTATGAATATTTTACTGCCCATCATCAATATAATAAATAGAATTTGTATTATTTTAATGTCCTTAATGAATTGTTACAAATTATTTGTAAGGTTTAAGGTTTATTATCTAGCCGGACAAAGGTGCACACATTTGGCCACCCTACCCCCGTCAATTAAGCAACTTAAAATGAAGCTATTAATATCCCCATCTCTGTAAAATTTCCCGACTAGAAATGAACTTTATTGCATTGTTTAGTTAAAAAAAAAATATATATATATATATTCAATACTCCTTTAAGATGTCTAAACTAAAATGATATTCTTTTTTTCAGAAAATATTAAGCACTAAAACCACCTCATGTTTCAATATTTTATAGATTGGTTTCCTTCTGCTAAATGTCCTCCAGTTAATATTACATTTACATTAATAGTTAAAAAATATGGTAATTGAGTGAAGCTAACATAGCATTTATCCTGATAATATTAAATTAAATATGAATCATAGTATTGAAATTAAATTATGTTTGTAGTTCGTAAACAGTATAAAGTAACAATCAGTTTAGTTAGTGATTTGAGCAAAAATTAAAATAATTAAGAACCATTATATCAAAAGTTCTATTAAATAAAGGTTATTTTATTAAATAAAAATTACACATACTGAATTAATTAATTTATTTGAAAATTTCAATTTTGCTCTGTCCAAAAGTGTTACAAATCAATAATAAGAATAATAAATTTACTTAAATATTGAAAATCCTCCTGTGATTTTTTTAAAAATATATTTTTTAGCCTGGAATCCTTCTTCAATTTATTTTTTGCCATTTGTATATTACCTAATGTTTAGATTTGTATTATATATATATTTTTTTTTGTACTTGAAATAAAAATCAATTAATTTATGTCTTTACGATTTTATATTTAATTATGCTTACCCATTATAAATTCACCAACTTATAAATTCATGACACCTAATTTTACTTACCTTTTATGCCAATTTTCGATTTTTATAGTAAACTAATCAATATATAAATATTGCTCTTAAAAAATGGTGCGACAGCGGTTGAGCACTGGAACAGTGTAGTGGAGCTGATTGTGCCGCTGACAAGAGTAACAGTAAGGCCCAACTGTGACAGTCACAGGTACAGAGCAGCCAGTGTGTCTGCGACTAGAGTCGAAGTGGCATGAGTAAAAGGGGTTTTCTCAATTGCCAAGTATCGAATTGTTTAAAAAATTATTTGAATGGAATGAATTGATTATGAAAATGAATCCATAATAACCAAACACAGATAAAATTTTAGTTCAAATTAAAAATACACTTTCTCGACTGTTAATAATATACATTTTCTGTGGATATTGAAACAAAACAAATCACATTATTGTTTTAATATTCACAAATATGATTTATCTATACTTGTGTATATATACACAGATATATATATATATATATATATATATATATATATATATATATATTATATATATATATGTGTGTGTGTGTGTGTGTGTGTGTGTGTGTGTGTGTGTGTGTATGTGTATTGGTGGTTTATTGTAAATATACAAAGTGTATTTTTGATATAGGTAAACTTTCAAAATTGCTTTTTGTGAATTTCGACTTTATATTTTCGATATAAAATCATTGTAAATGCATTGAAATAACATAAATCCGTTTATATATTGAATACAGTTACAACAAGTGCACAATTTTCTGAATCCATAAATGGATTAATTAATTAATTAAAGTAATGAAATATCTTTTTGCTATAAGCCTGCTACATATTAATTAATTAATTGACAATAGAACTGTTGGTTAATAAATATAATATATAACACATTAATAAAGGAAGGAGATGGTCCGGGGTGGTGGTCATAAATTAAGTCATAAAGGTTCAACTAAATACTCTCAGATTCGATTTACCGTTACGAAATTATTAAGACATTTAAATAGAATAAACGTTAGAGATTGAAAAGAATTATATTTTATTACTAATATACAGGAATCTTAGTGGAACAAATAAATAAAAGCTGTTTTTTTTCCTTGAGCCCGTCTTATTCGGGTAACCAGGACCCTACCTTTTATTTAATTATTAACTTTAGTTCGATTGACTATAACCAACTTACGTCTCGGCCTTAAGTCCCATAATAAACTCTCTTTCCTTTTCCTAAACTTGAAGGATCCTATACATTTACAACCCGATACATTTACCGGATACCTTACTCCTAATTGTAATAGTTCCTAAATTGGCAAAGCTAAAAACCATCTCAAAAGCCGTATTTCTCAACATGAAACATCTATAACTTCCCGGAACTTTTCTGCATCCAAACTATCATATGCCTTGACCCTCAACCATTCATTTGATTTTGAAAAATACCTCCATTCTTGCCACAGTCCCTAACCATGGAAAAAGACACATTTCCGGATCCATCCACATCCATATGGAACAGAATCCAGTTAATTATAAAGTGGTTAAAAACTATTTCTTTAGCATACAGACACATTTTAAATCTGTTTAGTCGAAAATAGCTTCTGTATTATATCGTCTATTATTCTTGTTTATTTATTTATTCAATTTCTACTTTTTATTGATTAATTTAATCGTTCCTTAATTTTTAAGTATTTCCATATTGTATGATCTCTCATTTTTATACTATTTTTATTTTTTATTCTACATCTATAAACGATCATCCGTTTATATTTTGTATTTATTGTACTTATATTTATAATTTCTCAACTCTATCTTGTATTTATTCCACATCATTGAAACTATGAGGTTGACGTGTTATGGGCAAGTGATGAGGATGGAAGAGGGACGATGGCCTAAGCGAATTTGGGATCGGAAACCAGAAAGAAGACGGAAAAAAGGTCGCTTGAAGAGAAACTGTAAGGGCATAAAGGAAGGAATGATGAACATGGTCATGCGTGAAGAAGATTGGCTGGATAGAAGAAGATGGCAAAAACTTATATTTGGTGACGACATATGACCCAGTGTTCTAAAGAGTCGTGAAATAATAAAATCTTGTATTTAAATGTAATTTTCTTAATATACATTTATATTAATAATTATAATTATAAATATATATTATAATTATTTATATTAGACTCTTTTTATACCTTTAAAATTAGTTCTGCAATATATGGTATCTCATTTTTATTTTTATATTTATATTTTATTTCTATGTACGATCTTCCTTTTTTATTTTTCAAATACATTGTACTTTTGTCTATAATTTCTTAATTATATCTTGTATGTATATTTATATATTTATAATTAATTAGTTCCTAGATATTGTAATTTTTCTTGTATCCATTAATATATTCAAATTTTAGATACTGTAATATTTCCGGTTTTTATTTTGTGTTTACTAAATAAAATTTAAAGATAGTCACTCATCCTCAATAACTATTATTTTTCCTTTTTCTTTAATCTTTTCTTATGATCCGAAAGATTCTACTCATTATTACATATATAATCCATCCTCCTTATTATATTCAATTTTTCTCCAACTACAATTGTTATCAATTATTTACTTCAGTTTCGGATCTTGATACTTATGTTACTTATACAATACTTCGTTTACTCAGTTTATTGTTATTAATATTTCTATGTAATTTCTATCAATACTGTTTATAATCTTAATAAGTTTATTCGAATTGTTTACAATTTGTATTCTAATAATATATAACTTTCACAATTTTCTTTATCTTTTTGTATCTTGTTCGTTCTAACTCTGAAGAAGACCTTCAAAATCTTGTCGAAACGTTGCTTACTGGGCCGAGCTAACAGTTGGACATTGGAAGAAAAAACAAAAGTTAAACTGTAGAAGTTTGACTGCATTAATGACAAACTAATATCCCTCCCTCTTCATGCCCAGCAATTTTTAACTTCATTGTTGCATTAATAATGCCTTGATGTGAGATAATAGGAGAAGAAATGAAAACCATCTTTTTTATATTTAGAGGTGGTTTGCCGACATTTTTTATACTGGGCTGAATAAGGTACTTCTAGTGAATTCTAAGACCGCTGAAACATCGGTTTATATAAATAAACGTAGTTGTTACGACATTTCAAGCAATTTTGGCCCATTTCGCAAATCAACCGAAATCCCTCGAAAAAGTAGATAGACACTATTGTTTGAACTACAAAGGTTTGAACTTCTAAAAACAGTTTTCAGACCTTGCCACAGCCGACCACCCCGAAAGTTATTGAGGATGAGTGACTATCTTTAAATTTTATTTATGTTACTTATATTCAAGTTACCATCGACAGTTTTTGACTAAATAACATCTAATTGTCTATACTGACCAAATTATAAACATATGACGAGTTTAACAGTTAAGTTTGAAAATATAAAAAAATATTTTTTATTATTACATACATGTAACTTTATATATTTATATTTTAGTATAATATGTCATTATTAAATAGGTAATAAATTATAAAATATCTGAACATTGTAATATTTACAATACAAACTACAAGACCTTTATTTTAAACAACTATTGGTATCTACTGCGAATATTTTTACAATATTTATTTTACGTGAAATACTTATACTTGGAATACTCATGTTGCATTAAATAATAATTTTGCATGAAACTCTCATTATTTAGCATAAATAATGAATAATGGTACGTAGACGATCCTTGACATAATTAATAATATTCTATTTAATTTCTACCCGCGCCCAGACATGTTTTCCTCATGTTTTAGAAACTAATCTACGAATATTACAGTATCAATTATATTATATTTCATCCACTAATTTCGCTTAAGAATGCACAAATGTATTTTTTGTGTTTTGTGCCAAGCATTTGTTTCAAAAGCCACTGACTCGTACAGTATGTTTTCTTTAGAAAAAAAAAAAAGAGAGAGAGAGAGAGAGAGAGAGATGTATATAATGACATACTATGATGATATTAATTATTGTTCTTTATTATTAATTATCATTGTGTCATTTCCAGCTATATTTTTGTTCTCGTTTGGAGGGATCATTCTTGATTTTTTTGCATCAACGTCTCTGGGATTAATGGTCTGGACGTTCAAAGATTACTCTGAACTACCACCTACTGAATTAGAATACTTCGGCCCAGAACAACAAATATTTGGTGATGATGAAGATGTTAAACCATTTAAAATAAAAATTCCAGAATCTGTGAGTAATACTTTGTAAGAGATTTATACTAAAATTTTATATTCGTGTATCGTACATGTAAAATTAAATTACATTTGGCTCCCATTATAAATACGTCACTGTTATTAAACTTTCACTTTTTAGCAATTGATTATCCTCAAAGAAAAGTTATCAAATACAAGAGAATTGAATCCTCCATTCATGGGTGTCGGCTTTAAGTATGGATGTAATTCTGAATATTTGAAGAGTTTTTTAGAATTTTGGAAAACTAAATACAACTGGAAAAACAGAGAGGATTATCTCAACTCATTTCCTCAATTCACAACCCAAATCGCAGGGCTAAATATACATTTCATTCACTCGAAACCAAATAAAGCAAAAGCAAGAGGTAGGTTATCAAGCTCTATTCAATTAATTACTTTACTTTATTCTTGAAGTAGGTCATACTACATGACAAATATTACTTTGCCAACACATGGTCATACGCTCCTACAACACTTGCTATAAGCTCCTTGTACAATATACAACACCCTTTCTTCTCTAAAAGAAAAAAATCTGGCGCGTCCACTAACATTACTTTCCTACCTATTTCAGAAAAGTTTTTATATCTTTATATATGTCCATCAAGAAACAAAAAAAAAAATTGAATTAGATTTGTTAGATAAACTAAAGCGATGTAAACCGGCTTAAGGTAGATCAGTGTAAAAATTTCAATACCCTCTAATATTGCTGATCAAAAACATTTTACCATAGCTTAATTTTGTCGAACAAGAATTTCTGTTAAAAGTATAGGTAATAGTGAAGCTTGTGTGATGAAGGCAACAGAGTTTCTTACTTTTACTAAGTTATCTTTTTTGTCTCATTCATCCCTTTCTGACAACAGGATATGTACCCGTAATCTTACATTGGAAATTGAATAGCTGTAACTTCGTTAATAGTTGTCCGAAATGAACGATTTTTAAATAGTTCTGTAGGGAATTTCATTACCTTGCAAAAAAGAAGGCATATCGATCACAGGAATTTGACCCAATCACCTTACCTAGTATACGTAGGAAAGTAATAAATTAAAACATGTGCAGAAAATAGAATACGCTGTATCATCGCTAATATTGGTGCGATTCCGATAATCTTTTTTTTTTTTTTTTTTTGGTAATTTAATGACCTTTCAAAAGTTATATAATAAATCTTACCATAGAATATATATGCGAGCTAGGCCCCAAAACATTTTTCTTTTTTTAACTTATTAATATATGAAAATAAGTATCTCACTTAGGATTAACCAAGAGAAGATTTTTCTTTTCATTATAACATTTTTTCTGAATTTTTTGGAGAATTTAGTCCTTATACGAAAATTTAAATAAAATTGATTAATTATTAGAACATTATAGGAAAGTTTCATCAAAATCGTTAGAGCCGTTTTCGCGCAACAGTCTATAGAAAAACAAGTTTTTCATTTATTGCGCATGAAGCACTCAATTTGTGTCACAGGCATCATTAGTCAAAACCCTACAAAATAAAAAAAGAAGCAACCAAATCGGTTCAGTAGTTCCTCAAAAATCTTGGCACAGACAAACAGACCAATGGCTAAAAATGTGTTATTCGGACTCGGCTGGCTCTCAAAACTTATAGATCCGTCGAAAACCGCATGTCGAAAATTTGACCCGATACTTTCCAATACTTTCAATACTTTCCTACTTTCCTTAAATTTACTTCAATACTTTCCTTACCTAGTATAGGTAGGAAAGTAAAAAGGCGTGAGCAGCAGAGCTCCGTCACTAAGGTTCTATTTTCCACTTATATTTAATTTTTTTAAAAATAGAAAGTAGTTAAATTGTTATATTTTTCATATTTTCAATAAGCTATATATATAATTATAAAAACTGGTATACCAGAATAAGAACTCTGCAGGTAGGTTTGAGATTTAAATTATAATAAAAACCAATGCTGCGCATAAATCGATGAACCGATTTTAATGAAATAAGGCCAAAGTCTTCTCATCTAAGGACTTTAACTTTACGTCTACAATAAAGTTCGCCCAAAAGAAGCTGAAAAAATTAATTACGACGTTAACATTGGATATCCGAAAACACAAAAATTATTAATTTTTTTGTTGATATTGTATAGATATATTGTTAAAAACAAAAACAAAAAATATATTGTATACGGTCATTTGAAAGTTTACTAAATTGTCTAAAAAATTAAAACAAATCATTAAAATCGGACGATTTGGTAAAAAAGTTATGTTGTTTTAAATATTTACCAAATGTTTCAAAGGAAAGCTGACCTTTGTTTTATTTTAATGAAATTGCATGACGGATGCATCTTTGTAATTAATGGACGGATTTTTACGATAGCTTTTTTATCGTTTAGGAAATTTAAATGCCTTCAAAATATGTCTTCACCCTAAAAGGGTAAAAAGTGAACCCTTTTTGAGTTATTCGCAAATAAACTTTATGTCCATTAAAACTTCTTTTCTAGTTCTTTTTCAAAAAAGTATGTTATATACATAATTTTATAGTATTTATACGAAGAATATTTTTTAAAATTTTTTATCAATATCGTTACAGCCGTTTTATTGCTGTAGTCTATAGAGAAACGGAGTTTCCGCCGCAATCTTGAAAGAAAATGGCAGCTTGTGATCAAATTCTCCGAAAGCACCTCTCCACCACCAACTTAATATAGATACAAAATTTCAACCTTCCAACTTTGTTAGGACTAGCTGTGGAGATGCACACTATTTTAAAAACAGGAAACCTTCTTACATGCCGAAATTTTTCCAAAGTTTACTAGTATTCTTCCGCTTGAGAACCAATCCTATATTTTCAACTTATTCGGTCCAACAGAGACTGCTGGGAAAGCCGAAATGTAGCGGGGAAATATATATGTATATCAAGTTTTATATATATAAATATATATATTCTGACACCTCTAAAAATTACAGAATGGTATTCTTGGAGTTCCAAAACGGATAGAAACCGCAACACTGCCTTCCACAGACGACTTTCGATACAGTGTAAATAGTTTATTATTTCCGAAGGAAAATAGACAAAAACTACCTTCATTCTATTCCCTGCATGCATAGGATTGTTGATATATCAGTTAGGTTCCGTTATTTCTTATTTATATCGATGTCGGGGATTTATTTCGATATTAGTTAAATATCGGATACAAAATATCGTCAATATCAATTTGAAATCGAGTTAGGAAGTGACTTTTCATAACCTTAAATAAGTAATGAATTTATTTATATCTTTGATGAATTTACCCTTTCTGAAATCAGAATCATATTAATCATGATGAATTCATTCCTTATATGACCTCAAATTGACTTAACCTATTTCCATAATCAGCAAAGTGTTAAAATCATACAATAATAATAGTAAGGCCTAGCGAACCGGAAGGTTGATGTACTAGGTCGATTGATGTAGTAGTACCTTCCTCCCGCGAACAAAACTCAAGATTTGTGGATATTTACTTGCACCGATAGATGGGACGAAATAATCTGTAGTGAAAGGCACCCAACTAAGTTTAAATGTTCGTAGATGTCAATTTACCAAAATGTTTAAGTAGATATGGAAGTATATTCTCTTAAGGTGGATAGAAGTTTCTCAATTTTTTTAGTTGGTTTTTATTTTTTTAATTTAAATATATTTTTTAGATCATTTATTTTTAGCTGGAAATTTACAAATGCTATGAAGGCTGTCTCCTCTCCTCCCTATGTTTAATCTAAACAAATACGTTATATATGCAAGTGTATTTTTTTTTTTTTAGATATTTTCAAGTACACATACTATGTAAAACCAAAAAAATTAATAAATAAAAATCCTTACAAATTTATACAAATATATAAACAAATTAATTTTAAACATTCAATATTATATTTAATTGTTTCACAATAATTATGTTGAATTTTTACACATAATAAAAACCTCTGCCATTTTTTTTTCGGTCTATTGCCCTCCCACTTTCCCTCCCCTCTCCCCAAGCAATCAAAATCGAAAGTCTACGACTATGCTCCGAAACAATGCATTTTATCGAAATTATTAATATATACAAAGTTAAAGTAAATATAGTTTCCTATCTATTTTATATATAGTTTTTTTATGTAGGCCCAACGGGTGAGGAGTTAAATAATGTTGACAGTTTGCTTATTTCACAAAAAAATAACTGTTTTCGTCGATTTTTCCCCCAAAACTCTTGATCTATGCATCTCTCGGAGTAATTTATTATAATGAATTTTAAAGAGCATTAAATTTCCTATGAATTTCGTGTTAAGTCACTGATATGTGAGAGGATAAGTGCGTGGAATCGAAAACGTATTTCGAAAACGTATCTGCCACTATCAACTTTAGTGCTTTTTATCATTTCATGAGTTTGATTCGGCTATTTTAACCATATTTATAACAGGATAAATAAATACAGTTAAATTAACCGAATAAAATTCATTGAAAAGATAAAAATCACTAAAGTTAAAAGTGGCGGATACAACGAGTGAAATATGCCTTCGATTCCATGTGCTTCGATTCACTTTCATATTGGTTATAATAAATTTCTCCCCTTCGGGCCTATACGTAAAAGCTAACTATAAAATTTCTAGTAAATTTTATTTACTTTAACTTCCTATATAATAATTTTTTTTTAACTTTTATTATGATATTTACAACTGTATTAGTATGAATACATCTAGTAAATTTGTACAGAGAAATATTATTACATGAAACACGCTAGTTGAGAAACTACCCACTGGTAGCACTCTAATAATTTGTCTACATGAGAAGATCACGAGGCCATCTTCTTTTCAGACGCCTCGGAGGGTTATCAGGAATCGAAGAGGAAGCAAGGTTAGAAACAAGAGGATTCGGATGGTTATGAAGTTTATTATGGAAGGATAGGTATCTGGATTTGGCCAAATCGGAAACATATGGAACATTGAGGTCTTTATGGATTATTTTATTAGTGACAAAGTAAGGAGCATTGAGGATTTTACGAAGGATTTTGGATTGTAAGGATTGGATGCGAGAGGAATTCGATGGTTTAGTGGAGCCCCATAGCTCAACTCCGTAAGTCGAAATAGGTCTTATTATAGTCAAGTATATGAGTCTTTTGTAATTAAGGGGAAGTTTAGAGCGTTTGTCTAGTAAGTGTTGGAGTAGTCGGATCTATATAATAATAATTTCGATAAAATGCATAGTTAGAAAATCGTAAAAAACAAAAAAAAATCGGAAATTTCGCTGATTTTTACATATATCTCGGAACGCAATGGAAAATTTCTTTCGGGAACGTCAACTTCAGGTTCAAAATCCCAAAAAATCGAAGGCAAACCGACTATTTAAAATTTATCCTGCTATGTATTGAACATAGTGAATAAACTTTTATAATTGTTATGAGGTGCTGTAAGCAAACTTAAAATATGTTGATAGCACTGGAGCCAGGGCCCAAAAATCAACCTGATCGCAGGCGAAGGTTTGATTGTAAATTACGAAAGTGAATGTTATTCTGAGTAAAAAAAACCTTGTCTGCCGTTCCGGAGCCGCTGCTTTCAAAAATGGTGGCTGATTTAAAGAATATTAGGCCAATAATTTGAGGATCGAAACGAGAAATCCATTGCGAAAAATGTGAGAAAAGTTTTATTTTAACTGGTATATATGGGTTTATACATGTAAAAAACAAAATTGCTAACGCAGGCCACCAAGGGAAAACTTTTTACAGCCAAAAAAGACAGATTTTTTCGGTTTTTTCATCTATGAGTCCTAAACAATGCATCAAAGCGAAAAATGTGTTATTTAATAAATTAAAGAATGTTAAATTTTGCGTCAAACGAGTACATAAACTATAAAATTTGGTTTCGCGGTAAGGAATAAAACCACGGTCAACAAACGTTGAGTTTTACCAAATTTGTCAAAAACTGAGACAAATGACTATAAATGGTCCTGTAACTTGGAAATGAGTTCCCTAAGAGGAAAAACCCATAGAATCAAAGTTGTAGAGCATCAAATTTTGCGTATACTGGGTACTGACATTATTATTGTTGGCCAATTATATATCTCGAATCGGGATTCGTTATTCCTTTATAAAATTCGGTATCTTTCGGCACATCGTTTACCAAAATCTTTTTTTCGACCTTGATTAATCATGTAGTAGCTACCTACAGTGGGGCCTATACAGAAGGGCAGAGTTTGGATCTGGGCTTGATTTGATGACCACGGATCAGCAGATGCAGCGATGAAACCCACCAACTACGCCACTTCATATACAATAGCCTTAGTTTTATTCCCAATAATAAATTTACCAATGTTAGAATATTTCATGTCAATAAAACTCTCAAAACAGTCCATGTAAAATCACAGTCATTGACTAAATTCATTGAATCACGTATTTAGTTACTTTTAATTATAATGTGTACACATAGTTTATTAAACATAAGAATAAAATAAGTTTTTTAGTAAAAGTTATTTTAATTCTGCCACCCATTTCTATCATGATGATCACAGGTAATATTGGTAATTAGAAAGCATGATAAACACAAACCAGCCTTTGAGGAAGAATTCAATTAATTTACCATGGACCAATCAGTATATTGTAGATTCAAATTTGTTTATTATTATTTTTTATTAAATAATTCTTTATAATTATCATCCAGTGGCATCCCGAATAAATTTCAAACCCCCAAAATAACATTTTAATCCTAATCCAACTACAATCCAATTGGCCTGATTTGATGACTATGACGCTTCAGTTATCAAAATGCAACCGAGTACATCGTCAGTCAAGGTGACTTTTAGGGGCATATTTCGCCTCTTTAATTTAAATTTTCGCTTTCAAACGACTGACCGAAGTTTGGCATTCAGATGATGTTTACCTAGAATTTAAAGTGGTTATAGTTCTTGGAGTGGTTATAGTGGTTAAAGTGGTTATAGCTAGCTTATAGTCCTTCAGTTAAATGAAATGGTCGGTAGCTTCTAGTCTATATACCGGGCAACTAAAAAGACCAATATACTTAAATTACAGACTTTCCACTAAAACACTTTCAGGATTATCACCAAGACCTGGTACGTTAGTAACCTACCTACTTTACATAAAGACCTAGAGATGCCAACAGTTAACGACCTATCAACGACTTATTCCAATTTCTAGTTCTCGATATTACACTTGCTGATTGTCGGTATTTCTCTCAGTTGTGAGTGGAAAAATAAAATTTGAAAAAAAATCATCATGTAAAAAACATATTATGTAGTAGCAGTTATTTTTTAATTGGACATTGTCATGTTTAAATGCTAGTTCAACACAAATCCTCAATTATGTTTTTCGTTTACAGGTAAAGAAATTTTGCCAATGTTGTTAATTCATGGATGGCCTGGCTCTTTAAGAGGACTGTATAATTTAATACCTCTGTTGACCACTCCAATGGAATCTCATAATTTTGTATTTGAAATAATTGCTCCTTCGGTCCCCGGTAATGGATTTTCAGATGCTCCGCAAGTGCCTGGTCTTGATGCTGCAAAGATCGCTATAATATTTGATAAACTCATGTTAAGGTTAGGATTTAGAAAGTACTTCATCCATGCAGCGGATACTGGAGCATTAATAGGTCAATCCCAAGCAATTTTATTTCCACAACGGTAAGCTATATTAATCATTTAACAATCAGAAAGGTAATATATCAAATATAACAAATTATTTTAAAGATATGTAATACTTTAATTTTTTTTAAGTAAAATTTAAAATATTAAATAACTAGTTGGCCAGTGCGAATAATAAGCATAGTATATTGGTCAGTAAAGAAATGGAAATAAGTTAGTGCCATGTACTATTAGTTGGAGATATTTTGTTTCCCTAGGTAATTATAATCCACCAATGAATGAAAATTAATTTAAAACTTCATTCATGTTCTACACTCTTGCTCGCTAAGCATTATTCTGTATTTATTGTAAGTACATAATACTGCTTAGTAAGACTACAGAATGAGGTTTCAAGTATTCTTTACTTATTGTAAGTACAGAATACTCCTTAGTGAGGCTGAAGAACGACTTTGTGACGAAAAATAAAATACAAAAAAAAAATTAGTTCGTAAAGTAATGTTTTTTTTTATTACCTCGAAGAGGGTTAAATAAAATTAAGTAATTAGTATTAGTTTTAATAATAAGTATTACTTTATAATAAATCTTATTTTTAAGTCAGTATAACAGCCAACATATGAGGGAGAAAAACAAAAGGGAATCTGACGGAACCTCGCGAATGTACGCGAGGCACACTAAGGAATTTTGTTTGTGAAATGCTTTAGTTTTACGGTGCACACCGGATTTTCTTTTCGTATCCATGAACTTGTGATTATCAGTGACGAGTGCCGCTTGATTTTATAAGTTGGGGAATGAACATTTTCACAGCTTGAGGAGGTGGACTGGGGAGCCCCTGATGACGCTAGCTGGAATAAGTTCCCGCTTCCTCAGATAAATCAATATGCCAATCGGACAAAGTTCGGCATTGAGATTTTGTAAATATGTATATATAAGTTTTTGTTTCCTATCTTGTCTTTGTTTAGTAGTAGGGAATAAGTACGAAAATGCATAAGTGACAGCTTTTGCTGATGGTATTGCTGCCACAAGTAGTAGTCTAAATCCTAAATACATAGAAGCACTGACAACATATTGCTCAAAAAATAATGAACTGAACACATCAACCATTGAGGATAGTTCTGATAAAACTGAGGGAATACTATTATTGTTCAATAAAGAGAAGAAGAAGTAACCATTGAAATTCAAAATAAACTATCTAAATATATTGTTTAACTTATAGTCACTTTTGAAAGAGATTTAAGTTTTTTGGGACATTTTTATAAATAAAATTAAAAACGTCAGATATAAAACATACCGTTTAAGTTATCTATTAACTTCCATAAATCTTTCAATCCATCTGAAGATTTTTGCCTACGAAACGATAATACGTCCTACTCTATTTTATGGTACACTATTATTTCTAATGATTACCAAATCAACTGAAAAACAACTGCAGTCGTTTCAAAATGCAATATTAAGAAAAGTCGTCAAAGGAACAGCCATCTAAAGAGATAAAGTGTCAAAACTCCACGAGAAATTAAATATACCTTAAGGGTCAATTTTTTAAAATCAATAAAAAATGTAACTAACCCTTTATTCAATCAACTAAAACCTCCCGGACCACCTCAACGTCAGCGGACAGGTAAGAGAAAATGGGTCTCTCTGTTGCAAATGAGACAGAGAGCCAGAAACACCAGCACATGTGCTTGGAAAATGCCCGAACAACTCCCTCCTTATAATACGTTGTCACCACAAAGTCAAACATGAGCTGATGAGGCTCCTTAAAGAGAGAGATTACGCCTGGTTCGAAGAAGTATATTGCATGGATAAGGATGGATCCACCCTATATGGAAGGTCGGCGATGATTTTGCATCCTACCGTGAGATATGAGACCAATGATCTCGATCTGGCAGGCTTTCCTTAATGAAAAGTTCCGCGAGAGTTTCGGGCCGAGAGAGTTCCACGTGAGAGGCCTTTGGTTCGGAGCTCGCGGAACGATACCGAACTCAACAAGGAGCTTCATGGAGGGCCTTGGTGTCGACATAAAGGACGTGGCAAGGTTGGCAGAGAATGTAATCCTCGACTCCCTGGGAATCATCCATCACCATGTGCATGGGAGCGGATAGGGAGAGATTTTTTCATGGGGGGAGAGGCATGCGTGTGTTATAGCATTTTTATATTATTTATTGAGCACGTCCACTGTACTTTATGTATTTGTATGCATTTTACGAATTAGGTTTGGAAGAGAGAGAAGAGAATATGAGAAGGAGTAGGAAAAAGGTGTAAGAGGGGAGAAGGAAGAGAAAGAGATGTAGTATGCTAATAAATGAATGAAAGATATTGTCCAAAAAAAATAATAATAATAAAGGGGAAAAATATATATGCATACTATGCTAATATATATTGTTAATACTATATATTTGTATATTCGTTTAAAAAAAAATTCTGTAGTGATTAACAACTATGCTGTGTTTTAATCAACCCAATGTAATTGGGGAGCACCCTTTTATGAAAATAAAATGCTTCTCGCTAGTGTTTTTATTAAATCAACGATGTTGCATGTCTGAGAATGTTTTTATTTTATTTGTAAACATTACCTAGAAAATATATAAATTTAATTATTACTACTTAAATTATAATTTTTTTATTTTTTACTAAAAATAATAATCTTTAAAGAGTGACGTGCTTGAACGTATGTGCGTGTGTGAATGAACATGAGGTTCTCTTTGATGATGAAAGAGCCAAAAAAGGATTCCATCCTAAAAAAGGAACTTTATTTTATTTTATTATTTCATTGTAGACCTATCATCAATTGGAGATCTTTTATCAAATAGGTCATAGCTACAGACCGGATTTTCGTGCAGTAAAAATCCGAAAAACCAGCAGCGAATACTCAATATTTGTAAATTCGTGCAATAAAAACCCAAAACACGTCAAAATGTGTAATCAACACCTAAAACTTGTTTTTAATAATTTATAATATTGATACATCGAAATTTTATCAGATCTTGAGTCAAACAAGAGATATAAGAGATTTAAAAAAAATTAAAAGTAACGTCGAAAATTTAAATATGTTATTCTACAGATTCTGACACGGATAGACATTCGAGTCCGAAGTTATTACAAGCAAGCGAATAAAATATGCAATAACACGGAAATCTGGTCTCTAGTCATAGCTTTGTTTCATATCTATATTAAGACAGGCATTTTTTTAAACGTTTTGTAAATATTAGTATACACAAAATTAATATTATAATTTAATATTTGTTGATTTAATATTTCAGAGTTTTAGGGTACCATTCAAATATGTGTATATCAGTGTCATGGTACTCAATAATTTATATGTACTTAGCAGTTCGAATTCCTGCAGTTTTTCAAGATCATGGGAAAAGAGGCGTCATTCCTAAAAACTTCTGGATTCTTAATGCGGAAAGTGGTTTCTTTCATTTTAGCGCCAGAAATCCTGACACTCTGGGTGAGCCGCCAAAAATTTTAATCAGCTAAATTTATTCAGTAATAAATATCCTATCACTTGGAAAATAATTATAGGAAGGTAAGAACATATTCATACCATACATACAGAAAAGATAAAATAAACAGAAAAAAAATAATAATAAATATATACAAGAAATAAAAATAAAATAACTTAAAGATGAGTAAATTAAAAATAACCTATATACACACTAGCTAAATATTAACTCGATGATAGCCACTTATGATTTATATATAATTTTTTTCCCTTTTCATTTTTTTGATAGAATTTTTGGTATAAACAATTTGATTTAAAAAAAAGTCTGCCAAGTACGTTGAATTTGATAGTCGCGTGTTTTGATCATCATCGAATAAAATAACATTTGAGAACTGCATATTTGCTAATTATTTAGCAACCACTAACTTAAATAATTTAGCTATGTGTTAACTTGTAAAAAGGGTTATAGGGTGAGTTTTTGGTGGATGGAGGAAGAGATTTTTCGTACTGGTTTTGACCGAACGTGAACTTAGTACTTTTTGCTGAAATTCGCTCAACAGCTCAAATATCTTTTCTTTTTTATTAATAAAATAAATATTTATGTTAGGATGCTGCGTCAGATTATGGAATTTCGTGTTATTACTTACCTATTGTAGATTGAAAACTATTTGGTAACCTAGGGGTACCCAATCCCCAAGGTCAGTGCCGCATAAACCTCCTCCCCCCTAACAAGATATTTTATTGCTCTCTTCTTCTTAAAACTGTAAGTTAAAGTATAATTGCAAAAATCATAGGTCATATACCATTACACTTTCAATTGTCTGTTCTATGCTTTCCTCTTACCTTCTGGTTTGAAACTTTTCATTTCGAAAATTCATAATTCTGTCGAAATTTGCGCCCCTCGATAATTCAAAACCCTATCGAAATATGTCCCCCTTCTTCTGATGCAACAAATTGCACCAAGAAACTCCCTAGGTAAATAGCTTATATTCAGGGCTTTCAAGGGTACCTCTGTGGTAACCAAAGCATCATAGAATTTATTATGTTTTTTTGAGATCATCGCTAAGTCAAAAAATAAAAATCCTATAATGTTAATCCAAGGGCCGAATCGAAGATTTACAGTTCAGGCTGGCGCTTTTATCTTTTATTGATCCGCTGTAAATGGGAGGCTCCTTTGCAGCATTGGTCCATTGCCCAGTGACAGTCCAATGCACCGGATGCCCTGTTCAAGTCCACATTTGATTATAATGCGGAAATCACAGAATGTGCAGAAAGACTGGGAGCCACAGAAACGTGAGAGCTCTACGACAGTCGCTAAGAGGAAATTCTTTTGAAGAATGGGCCAGTTGCAGGTGGCAAGGCGTTGGAGTTCGGTATTTTAAAGAAATCCCGAAAGCTAATAAATACATATGTCAAAAGCAAGTGCTTTCGGGATCAGAATGGTCCATCGACTTGAAACTCAACATCAATCACGCACCATTGCGTGGAGTCCCAGGAGCCAATGGACAGTTGAAGGAAATTAGGTCCCTCTGTCGTAAGTGCCGTAGAGACTCTGAAACACCAGCCCATGTGCTGGGGAAATGCCCCATTCGACCTTCGGAGAGAGAGTTCAGCGTGAGAGGCTTCTGGTTTGCGTCTCGAGGAACGATTCCAAAAAGAACAAGGAGCTTCATTGAGGAACTGGATATCGATGTTTGGGATCTTGCGATATTGGCCGAGAATATTATTCTGGACTCCCTGGGAATCATCCATTATCACTTGTAGAAGAAGAAGAAGAAAAAGTCTTTTTATTTATCAAAATCACCTAATATAAATTACAAAATAATATTTTTGGATTTAAAACTGAAAATCAGAAGTGCTACATGGTCTGTTAACCGTCAGAGGAGTCTTTGTTTTAGAACAAAATTATATTTCAATCCATTTATATACAACTAATTAATAAGAAATACATTTTCTTATTATCACTTGTATAGTAATTGAATGTGGATTTAGGATGTCGTTTTGTCATTTATCTACTTAATTATTTATTTATTCAATTTTTATTTTTATCTTTGACTTATCTTTTTATGTATTTTCATGGAATTCCATTGTATATGTGTGCGATTTAGTCTTGTATTTCTAGCATTCGAATACTTTTTTGCTTCCAGAAAATGTATGTGTTAGATAATGAAATGTTTAATGTGGTATATCAGTGATATTGTATGTGGACTATTATTATGAAAAGGGAGAAAAAATAATAATATGTTTATAAAATAATGGAATAACATAATGTAAGAGCTATGTCCATAATGATTTATCAGTATGTTGTGTATAAAGCAACCCTATATAGTAGGGCAGCATAACATATAATAAAGTATTTCTCTCTTAAATTTTCGTATAGAAAGAATCGGCTTATTCGGTAAATCGGTTGACCGAAATTGTGAGTAAGATGGGGTTTGTTTAGAACTTAAAATTTTTACTAGTTTTAAGTCCTTCAGTTAAATGAAATGGTCGGTAGCTCCTAGCTATATAAGCTGTAGGCGTCAATAAATTTTGTGTGTGTGTAGGCCTTCTTTTCATGTAATTTGTTAACTTCATATTCCTACATTTTCTCTTAAATTTGTTTTATAGAATATGTCGGTTTCGTCAACATATCATCGATACAAATATTAATTATCGAATCGGAAGATCAGCATTCTAATATCATTATCAACTCAGCCCAAACAACGAGGATGTTTTCATTTCCGTACTTTTATCTGCTTTTATGAATGTTCCAAGATTTTGTATTCGCTCTTTAAAAATATTTAATTACAATCGCTAGATCGCAGGATTGAAATTTTTTCATATTCAATAGTTATTGGTATCGACAAGTTGATTTTTATTCCATCTATTTTATGAGTAAAAACATAAACCTCTTAAATGCATTTCAATTTGTAAATATATACTGAACTGAAAATGATTTGAACTTTGTGTTGTTTTTTTTATGTAAAAAAAGATTAAATTATTCAATTTTTATTAGATACTAAAAATTCAATATTATTCATTTGTTTTCCAAGATAATTAGATCAAAAACAAAAAAAAACTGTAGACTACAAAAACATTGGGCCGTTTGCCCTAAATAACTTGGTCGGTTTTACTTGTTGGAGATGGAAATCACGCCAAACGACCAATATTTTTGTAGGATACCTTTTTTTCTCGATTTTGTGATCAAATTATCTTATGATTCAAATGGAAAGCAAACGGTTTCTGAGTTTTTAATACCTAATTAAATAGACAAAGTTTGCCGATCTATAGATTGAAAAGTCTCCAATTCCTAATTTTCGTAAATAAAAAAGTTGTACGTTACAATGAGATGAAGCCATTCAAGAAGTTTTTGGCAGATATTAATAATTTGATAAAAAGCGGACTGTATCACGGAATTTATGGACTTAAAATTACTTATTAATTCTTTAATATAAAAATATATAAGTTTTTTAGAAGTTTGGACTCATTTTTACAGGGGTAATGATGAGTGATTCTCCTGCCGGTCTAGCTGCGAACGTTCTCGACAAGTTTACATCCTGGTCGAACTTCAACAGGAGGCTTAGCGAAGATGGAGGTCTCAGAGCATTCGATAAATATGATCTTCTCGATATCATCACGATACACTGGCTTACGAATAGCGTCACATCATCACTACGAATGTGGAAGGAAACATTTAGATTCTATTCCTTTTTTATGAAAAACGGAATAATGATGTAAGCTGCTAATCAACTCATACTTTTCTAATTTATACATTACATTTATTGATAATGTGTCCCTAATAGTTACAAGGGTTGAAGTTTAATGACAATCAAAGTCAATATATAGGAACACATTACACATACTTATTACATTACACCAGAGATCTCCAAACTACGGCACGAAAGTTAATTTTATTACATTGTAAAATTTTTAAAATATGAAATATAGCATATTACTCACAGACGAGGTTATTACAACATTTATTGTATGGTTTATCTATTAAAAAGTTCATTTCACAGCTGAAGTGGCGTTTATAGAATACATTTTTTTTTTTATCAGAAGATATGTCTCGCGGGACTTGGGCGGAGGTCTTAATGCGACCCGCGGGACTTAGAGGAAGATTCAATGTGGCCCACGGCCCAAAACGGTTGGTGATCCCTTCATAACACTTACATATTACGCTGACATCACATTGTACACATTAAAAAATATTAACTACAACCCCTCCATATGGTTACTTCTTATGCCAAAGTTGTCTGAGAGCGTCAAAGACCTCTATTGCTCACTACCGAAGGTAGGGAGGCATTGTATTCGTGCGAGAGGTTAAAAGAAAAAATTCCACTCGTGTTTTATGTTACAGACATCAAGGATTCAATTTTGTTTGGCGGCTGTCTGTAATCAAATCGATGTGACGAGCATACCCGTTACTACTTTTCATCCGATATTCATGACATTTTTAGGGATTATGCGGATTGTTGTCTAGATGGTCCCATTTCAATTTTATCAAATTTCATCACATCACGTAATTTCTTTTGGGTTACCATAGATTTGAAAGAGTGGAATCATTCATATACCTAGGATCCCAGACCAACCGTAATAACTGCATTGAAGAAGAAATCCAAAGGCGGATCCTCTCCTCAAACCGCACCTATTTCTCCCTCCATAAACTCTTGAGAAGTAGTGTGTTGTCGAAGGCCTCGAAAGTGAGAATTTATAAGACAATTATACGACCAGTTCTTACATATGGCTCAGAATGTTGGACTACAACTAAAGCCCTTGAGCATCTCCTTCTCCGTTTCGAAAGAAAAGTGCTTTGCCGTATATATGGTGGTATATATGAGGAAGGTGCATGGAGAAGAAGAACGAATGCTGAGTTAAGAGCGAGGTACAAAGAAATATACGTACCAACATTCGTAAAGGTATCAAGACTTTGCTGGGCCAGTCACGTTATAAGGATGGATCCAAACGAAGTTCCTTACATCTTGGCTGGGTAGATGTATGATACCAGACGGGTTGGACGCCCCAGGCATCGCTGGGAAGACTGCGTGGCTGCTGACGCGAGATCTCTGCTCGGTGTTATGAACTAGAAGGCAGCAACACGGAACAGGGAGGACTGGCGGTCTAAGCTTGAGCAGGCCATGACTCAAATAATGGGTCGTAACGCCGAATAAGAGGAACGTATTTTCTAGATATGCCAGTATTTCAGAAACGGCTCTTTCGATTTGGCTCAAAGTTGAAAGAAATGTGGATTTTGGTAAAATAATGATTCTATTTTGATTTTATGGGTGATAAATATTCAGGACGCAGTCATTATAAGGTTTTTATTAGTGCCGACATTTCAACCCATACATTGTGGGTCATCATTAGGGTGTGGTTCGAGCACGGAAGATATTCGAGTATTGTTTCTTAATTACTGTATAATTTTCTTAATTTATTTTCTTAATTGAAGTACTGTACTGAAGAAATTCGCACTTAAATATCTTCAGTGCTCCAACCACGTCCTGATGATGACCCACATGTTTGGAGTGAAACGTCGGCACTAATAAAAACCTTATAATGACTGACTCCTGAATATTTATCACCCATGATATGTAGAACAGTCTACTAACTTCCTTCAATATATCGATTTCATTTAATTCCGTCGCCTAACTTCTAGTAAGACCATGGCGATCGTTGGCGCAAGGTACTGTTCATTTGAAAATACGAAATTCCAGGAAGCGTTGAGAAATAATTTATCCTATGAAAATATGAAACTTTGGAATGTATTAAGAAATAAATTATTTGGATCATTTCAACAAAATAATATTTTGAGAATTCAGGGAAAACGATTAATACATACTTCACAATTTATAGTAAGTTGCTAGGGTTAATGTGGTTTTTTATTAATATTTTATTTAAATTCTTGTAAATTTTTATTCCTGGCTAAACTTTTGGAATAAATGAGAAACTCTATGTCCACATTAAAAATAGAGACCTTTGCCGCTCCCAGCCACTTTGCAGCGCCCTTACAGTATTATAATAGAGAAAATATGAGTTTACACTTTATTATTTTTTTATCATTATTTCTGTGTATTCATTAATTTATTTCAATACAATCACTTTATTATTGATTTTACAGGAGGGAAGTAAAGGTTCCCTCAGGCTGCGTCTGGTTTAAAAACGAGGCGGCATTCATGCCATTATGGGTATTAAAGCAAGTTTTTCCAAAATTAGTGTCCCTCAACTACCTGCGTGATGGTGGCCACTTCCCGGCCCTCGAGAAACCTCTTGATCTCTCAGATGATATTTGGGAATTCGTCAAAATAGCAAGATTTGTAGCTGAAAGAGATAAACGTCTCAAAACTGAATTATAATAACTGTGTGTATTGTATTATTGGTTATTTAAAAAAAAATCTGAAATAATTATACTTTTAATGATTTTTTAAAATAAATGTTATTTTTTTAATTTTTATTTTTTTAAACGCCTGTAAGAATGAAGCATGAGTTGATCAAGATTTATTATGATTCACCAAAAATACTGAACCATTTCTGACTGTTTATTTTATTTTAAATAGCATATTAGGTTAGGTTTAGAAATAACTAGTGCATAAGTAGATTCCATTTTAAATGTAAAGAACATTTCCAATATGAATGAATGAGAAATGCTTTATTAAATATACATAAATTATATACACAGAGAGTACACGGCATGATTATTCGTCTGCTGGAAATTTTATATGTTTTATAGGAACATTACAAATAAAGACTTTACAATAATTACATATACATGAATAACTCTTAAATAATAAAACAACAAATACAAATATAAAATAATAAATATTTTGGAATAATTTATATCCAATAAATAATAATAAAAAAAAAATGAGGGAAACCGCAAACAATAACATGAATAAAACTGACTACAAATAAATTAGACGGATCATTGTCTATGCTAGATGTAGCAAATTAAAACGGTGTTTCCACGCATGTCGAGCAAAACCGACAATTTTACGACATTCGTTCACAGAGGGAGTATTTAGAAGGGAAATTAGGATATCATTTCGAACCGGTCTTGTTCCAAGAAATTCGATTCTAATTTGACTAAGCATTAAATATTCAGCCAAAAAATGGAACAGGTCTTCCTTTACTTTTAGATTACAGAGTGGACAATTAGTATATCCTCTGTCAAGCCAGAGGATATAATTCAAATAAAGCAGTTTACACCTGAGCTTGAACAACCAACTAAACTGGCGCCCAGTCAAATCCCAACAGCAGCCATCCTCGAATTTCAAAATTTTAAGATCATGACTCAATTCGCTATACAATAGAAATCTATCAGAATTCAATGCCGCTAATTTACACTGCTCCCAATGTTGCTGAGTGATTGCAGACCGTATTGTTGCCAACTGGTCTTAACATAACGAAAAGCATTCCAAAGACCTGTCGAACCTGCGACAGTATCTTTCCTCCAAATTGCACCAATTTTTAAACCAAAAGGTATTACGTTTAATCACTTCAATGGCGGAAACTCTGGAGAGACAACTTTCAGGCAGGCACAGTAACTTAAGACAATACTTAAAATGCAACTGTAAAGTGAATACCTCAAGTGGATTTGTGGCTGTTTCTAAATAAACCATATTTTTTGGTGTCGTTGGAGGCAACGAAAACAATTTCTTAATGAAAAATCTCTGAAACTTTTCCAACACGTCATATCCCTGAAAACCCCAGACTTGAGACGCATACTATGGAGCATAATATCGCATCAAATATTTGTTTTTGGTGGATTGTGGGATCATATCTTGAGCAATCAAACTTGACCAATTCCTATAAAGATCCATTTAAGAGCATTTTGAATATTTATTCATCATCATCATCATGTGTGGCACGACATCCCGTTACCGAGACTGGCCCTCCTCCAAGAGCCTCCGCCAGTTGGCTCTGTCTTCTGCTGCAGCTCTCCAGTTCCGTACACCAAGCAGGGTTCTCGCATCATAGGCCACGTTGTCCAACCACCTCGTCCTCGGCCTTCCTACCCGTCTTGCGAGGTGCAGCTCCTCCATCATTATTTTCTTGGGTATCTCAACGGTGCTCATTCTGGCCACATGCCCTGCCCACCTTAGTCTGGCCAGTTTAATATAGGTGACTACGTCGATGTCTGCATAGAGAGAACTGAGCTCCCTATTTTTTCTTTTCCTCCAGACATCATCCTCCTTTACTGGACCATAAATCCTTCTGAGGACTCCTCGCTCAAACACACTCAGCTTCATCTCATCGTTTTTGGTCATCGTCCAAGCCTCTGAGCCATATGTCAAAACAGGCCGAACAAGAGTCTTGTATATGATCAGCTTGGTCTTCTTTGAGAGGTACCTACTTCTTAAGTGTCGGCCAAGTCCAAAGACACATCTATTGGCAGCCGTGATCCTTCTTTGTATTTCTTGAGCCATGTCATTTTTGCTATTAATTTCAGACCCAAGGTATATAAAACTTTTCACTCTCTCAAACTTAAAAGAACCTACCTCAAATGGAGAGTTCAGATCCACCTCACCACCAACTCTCATATACTTAGTTTTCCTCTCGTTGACTTCTAGACCAAGTGGTCTTGCAGCTGCTTCAAGGCCTATAAACGCTTCTCTGAGAGCCTGTTCAGACCTACCTATTATGTCAATATCATCAGCAAAACCAAGAAGCTGTGTCAGGCGATTGAAGATTATATAGTTGGTCTGAATACCGGAGTCTCTTACAGCTTTCTCCTCTTGTTGAACAATAGACAGGCGAGGGCATCCCCATGCCTAACCCCACTGCTCACTTTAAACTCTTCGGAGTCGTCAGAACCGACGCGTATTCTACATCTCGAGCTGTCCATGGTCATCTTGATTAGGCGTACGAGCTTCTGAGGGATGCTTAGCTCCTCCAAGGCACAGTATAGTTGCGTTCTATCAACGCTGTCGTATGCTGCTTTAAAGTCTAGGAATAAATGGTGGGTGACTACCTTATGCTCCATAGTCTTTTCTAGGATCATCCTCAGAGAGAACTGTTGATCAGTGGTTGAGCTTCTTCTTCGAAATCCAGCCTGATATTTCCCCAGTTCCTTTTCAGAATACGGGAGAATCCTCTCAAAAAGAATATTTATTAACATGTTGAATTATTACAGATGAAACATTGTTTTTTGTACGTTTAATAATACCGTTTACTGCATAATAACACTTTTTAAAAGTGCACTACATAGCTGTGAATTGTAACTAAATTTATTAAAGCATCCAAATAACACAAACTCTACTAAATGTGTCTCACTAATATGAGCACAGAATGTTCTGAACTTACACAGGGACAATTCATCATGTCCATCTAATCAAATATCTACATTATGTTACTAAATGATTTATTTTAACACATTGTTATTCAATTTAAGAAATAAATCGGCTATACACATAGTGTCCCATAAATAAAAATCTGGGGCGCGCAACACAAAACTTTCCCTTACACCTCAACATTGAGTAAAAATTATTTTCTGACCATGTTGGGAGATTATAAAATTTTTGAATTGCATTTTCAACCGAGATGAAGCTAAAAAAATACAGCCAACAAATTATAAATACCATTAAAATAACAAAATTCCTAGTTATTATACCACCGGTCGATTATGGATTGTACCACTGTTAGTTATTAAACTGTTATTTTCCATTGCAAAGTTTACTAAAACGGAATTAAGAGATTTGCATTGTCTCAAAAGTTGTCACACTAATCGATAAGTGGACTCTGTTGGAATAACAAAAATGAAAATTTCATCAAACCATTCACTAATTTAATTTCTTAAGAGGCAACATGATGAATTTCGAAATAAACGGAAGATAGATATTTCAATATTTAAATATAATATTAGATCTAGAGTTATTAAACTACAGTAAATATATTTAAGGTTATAAACATATCCATGAAATATTTTTATATTACACTTCTTCTTTCACACAAGTATAATGAAATAGTATCTTAAACAATGGCATTGACTTGATGAATCCATAAGTTTTAAATCCTTTTTCAAACTTAAAAAAAAAAATATAGTCTACAGAAAGTAAGAAAATTTCATTTAATTTTCTTGAAAATACCTGATTTACGTTGAATAATGTTAGTTTTTAGAAATTATTATTTATATTTTTTTCGTCACTCTTCGTTACCTTCTACAACTTTCTATATTATATATTGCTTGTTTTAATGCTCCACTTTCCAACGACATATTATACGTATACCTTCTGACTATTATTTCCGAATATTCATTTTCAACTTAAATAAGTGTTTTTCCTTTTTCTTCTTTATTTAATTATCAAATTCTCCCAAAAGTTTATTTAGCATTTTTCCATTTTTCCACTCCTAACAATGATAAATATTTATCATTTATAATAAACCAAATTAAAGGTGCTTTAGAGAAAGATGTGTGAAGAGATTTCACAAAGCGAAGATTCTTCAAATTATTCACTACTTTATTTTTCGAAAAAGTTACATGAATCGGAATAAACGAAAATAAACCTAATTATTTAAATATAATATCAGATCTAGAATTATTAAACTACATTAAATGTATTTAACGCTATAAACAAATGCTTTATACATCCATTAATTGATTTGATATTTCACTTCTTCTTCTTTTTCTTCTTTTACACAAATACAAGGAAATAGTTTTTTAAACAATGGCATTACCTCGGTTAGGTGGATTTTAAATAATTTTTAAAATATTTTGAAAGTTTACATTTAGTTAGTAAATTTCATTTAACTTCCTTGAAAACATGTGATTAACGTTAAATAATATTAGTTTTAAAATATTATCATTTATAATTTTTTTGCCACTCTCCGTTACCTTGTTTTTTTTTCTGTTGTTCTATTGTTCTATTGTTAGATATAGTTTTTTTCTAAAATTCTCCGCTTTCCAACGATATATTATACTACCTTTTGATTATTATTTCCAGAGATTCATTTTCGATCTGGATTTTTATTTATTTTTTCTCCTTTATTAGTTATCAAATTCTTTCAAAAGTTATATGTAGCATTTTTTCGTAACTTTTAATAATGTGGGATGATTAATTATTTTAAATAAACCATATTAAAGGTATTTTAGAGGAAGACGTATATGAACATTGGGCATTTAATCCCTGTAAAGTGGCATCAATGGGGATAAGACATGATTGATTCTAAAGACCACTTCATTACCGAGTTTAATCAAAATCGTTAAAGCCGTTTTTGAGAAAATTGTAAAAAAAATTTTCAGCATTGACATATAGTGGCACTTCGGATTAGTCGATTTTATATCGAAAACGGGTATTTCAGTTGAAAACTCATATTCAAAAATTTTCACGATCAATACTTACTATATATTACATATATAGGTAAGTGTAAGTAAAAAGCACAAAACTTAAGTTTCCCAGTTTACAGCCTCTGATTGAATCACTTGATTGCTTGAGGTATGCTGTCACTTAATTAAATATTTCACTCTAATTACGGAAGAATCTATGTACGTATACATGTTTGTATGAAACGATATATAGATATGTATTTGAGTATATGTACATATATAGTATTGATGTTGAAATAGAAATTATATTAATTATGTTTATCAACTTTTCAAGGTGAAAATCATGTCTTGCGTAAGTAGATCAGACGTAATTGTGCTTCTACTACTTTTATTTTTTTATTACGAGGAAGGTACCCCTGTCCACCTAATACTACTCGTTGCTCAAACCGTATAACTTTAATTTACATTTATTCTGTTGCTCAGTTTGTATTATTTTTTATCAACATAAAATAAACTGAACGAAACCACAGTTCGAGCAAATTTTTAATTTCTTTAAAAATCTATACCATGCATCGCGTATTATTGCCAATTTTATACTCATAATTATAATTATTATTATTACCAATTTGTAACCATAATATATATTCAACCACTTCACATAAGCCCAACAATAATTTGAGCCTTTGGTTTTTAATATTTTAATTGTACGCTGTATTGTGCTTTCTTTTCTATTTCATAATAATTATAATTATATCACAATATAATATTATATATAATATAATAATTAATATATTGTATTTAAGAAGAAATGTCTAGATCGAAAAATAACTGTTGCCCCGTACAAAATTTCCCGTACAAATTTTTAGTTTAAAAACTTTATTTAAGCTAGGTATGACGTAACAAGAGCTCAACAAACATGTAATTAAATTAATTATTATCTGCATAATTAATATTATACTTATAGTATAATATTATACTACTAATAAATAGCTGTATATACATACTCTCTAACCTTTTCAAACCTCTAGAAATAATAGCTCAATCCCAAATTCCTTGAAAACGGAAAGCTACTCGATCCTCTCAAATCTGGTTTCCGTTCTGGCTTCTTCACACAATCCGTTCAACTAAAAATTATCAATGATTTACATGCTGCATTGGACGAAAAAAAGCTGACTGTGTTACTACTCCTCGACTTTTCCAAAGCTTTCGACTCCTTAGATCACTCTATCTTCTACACTAAATTAAAATCTCTATCCTTCTCCAACAGCTCTATTACTTGGTTTTAATCTTTTCTTTCCGACTGGACTCAAGCAGTTAGCATTTTGAACCAACACCTATCTTCCTTCCTTGCTCTATCTTCTGGAGTGGTCCAAGGTTCGAGCATTTTCCCTCCTATATAAATGATCTTCCCAAATCCATCCATCACTGTTTACACCATTTATATGCTGATGACTCCCAAATATATTTATCCTTCCACCCTTCTTAGCTATTAATCGCGTTCGCCAATATTCAGGCAGACCTAGATTGGATCAGTGCTTGGTCAAGTCTGAATAATTTAAAGCTAAACGCGATGAAACTCAGGCCATTATTATAGGTTCCAGTTCTCTCCTTAAAGCCAACTCCTCCCATCCTCCTTTAGTCATCAATTATCATCCTATCACATTCAGCTCCTCTGTTAAAAACCTAGGAATTACTATTGACGAAAACCTCTCCTGGAAACCTCATGTCGTCCTCATCTCCCAAAAGTCAATAGGTACACTTAAATTATTTCATCACTCCCGTCACCTACTCCCACAACCTATTACCAAGATCCTTGTATCCTCTCTTATTTTCCCCCACTCTGACAATTGTGTGGTGTACGGAGGCATTCCGATGGTACTCGAGGATAGATTGAAGCGACTTATGAACTCATTCTTAAGATTTGTCTTCGGTACTTCCGAGCGGTCTCAATTGTCCCACCTATACGATGAGTTAAAGCGACTCTTCCTTCCTTCCTTCCTTCCACCGACAATATTTCCTTGGATTTTACTTATTCTAAACGATCAACTCCCGGCACACATCCTATGTACAGTCTCCCACTGTTCAGTCCTCTCCCGGAAGACAAGATCTCTTGTTTCCAAACTTTATATCTCTTCCCATAGAACTAAAACATTTGAACATTCCTTTACTGCCCAATCCAATGCCTTCTGGAATTCCTTGCCATCTGAAATCCGCCTCTTCCTTGTTCTCATTCAAGTTTCATCTCTACCAATTCCTTCTCACATCCCAAAATGACGGTGTAGAATCATGAAATAAATGTTAGCTGAAGTGAAGTTTGTTGAAATTGTTAAAGTTTAAATCTTAAGAATCAACTTATAGTGCTTATAACATTTTGATTTTTGATTTTCTTGATTTCTGTTTTCCTTTTCCTTTTACTTTCTGTTGCTCACATATTTTCATTGAAGATATTGTATCTACTCTTTAATTTTTATTAATGTAGTTTTTGGCCAGATATGATTTTTATTTTTTGTTCATAATTTTTATTTTTATTCTCAAGGGAGCTTGTTCCAGAATCAAGTTTGTTTTCTACTCTATTCTATTATATAATTTGAAAAATAATCGCCATACAACAAAATTTTAAAGTCACTAAAAACTTGTTTATATAATAGAGAGAAATAAAACAATAAAAAGAAACAGAAATTACATCAAAATAGGGAATCCAATTTAACTCTTAAGAGTTTGATTTAAATTCTTTCCTAGATATTGTTGAGAATGAGTTGGGATCTTCAACGACCGACTTTCTTTAGCTAGACTATTTCTCTAGAGTTCAGAAGCTTTTACAGTAATTATTTTTAATCATTCGACAAAGATCTTCATCTAACCCAATTATCATTCATATTTCGAAGTATCTGCATCGATGATTCGAATTATTTAAATAAATTTATAAAAAATATTATCAGACCTAGCCATATAGATATGTGAGAACATCTCGTCCTTGGATACAACCACTGTGCACCTTGTATTAGATAATCGTAAGGAGATCCCCACCACGTTCGTTAATAGTTTCCATGACCTTCACCAGTGCTCAGTCATTCACTGTTCTTCCAAGTGAGTTGAGTCTCTCGTGAGCGATTCCTCCGATTTTAAAGGTTTGTTGATTATTTTAAAAAACACCGCAGGTTTTATCATTAGATATTACAATGCATAGAAAAGTCTTCAATTTGTCTATTTTAAATATAAGTTTCTATTATAGTTTTTAATCAGTGAAACAACATTATATCATGGCATTAATCATAAGATCAACACTCCATATATCAATTGAATATCACAATACATACAACGATAGTGTTGCTAGTATCAAATTGTCATTTAAATCCTGGGTTTATCAATAGTCAAATTATAATTTTCTGTAAAATGTACTCTTTATCTTAAAATTAAAACGCTCTTATTCCTTATCATTAAAGTAATAGTCTATTTCGTCAGTTAATTTTAAAACGTCTCAAAGTGCACATTGGATGTAGATTAACGTCCAAGTATGTTTTTGTAAATTTCGACCTTATTTTTCAGAAAATCACCGCAAATGCATGATAATGACAAAACCCTTGTATTTATCATTTATATTACATTTGTTCCATGATATTCTGATTTCACATAAGAAAAATTTATCAAAGTACAAATTGATTTACGTAGTAAGTACAAAATACACAGCAATTTAATTGTATCGAATGTTACAGAATATAGAATAAAAAAACAACAATAAAAACTTCTAATTACATTTTTTTACAAAATAAACAATTTTATCAATATTACGAAACAATATTATTATTTTTTTAATATGTTGATGAATAATTATGTGAGTCGTTTATTTCCAAAATTAACTGCAATCATCATTGACAAATTGTCAGTAACTGCGAAAAAAATGTATTTTCTATTGAAATTGTAAAAAAAAAAATAAAGAAAAAATTTTTTATTATTTTTTTATTTGTTTATTTAGAAATATCACATTCTGTCACATCAAGGACATTTGTAATAGTGTTCAGAGAACACACTCACACTCTATTTACAATAAATAAATAAAATAATAATAATACAGAAACTTAATAATAATAAATACAATAAAATAAAATAAATATAATAAAATAAAATTAAAATAAATACAATAAAATAAAAATAAATACAATAAAATAAAATAAATGTATATAAACAAAAGAACTAACCTAATCATACACACTCGGGCTTGAGTGGAGGATCTGGCCATTGCCAAAACTCCAATAGATGCTTATTTACAGAAGGTCTCTGGGCCACTGCCGCTTCAACCTTCGAGGAGGATTGTAAGGATGGGTGGTGCTGGATAGAGATTGTGCAAGGGGATTTGGATGATAGGTAAGGTTCTGGTGAAATTTGGAGAATTTTTCTGGAATAAGGTCTAGGACAAATGGGATATTAAGGTCATGGTGTAGGATTTTGTTATTTACATAGAACGGAGCATCAACTATTGTTCGAAGGACTTTAGATTGAAAGGATTGAATACGTTTGATGTTAGAAGCTTTTGCTGTCCCCCACAGTTCAAGTCCGTATGTCCATATAGGTTTCAGTATTGTCTTGTAGATAAGTAATTTGTTTTCAATAGAAAGTTTGGATTTTCTGTTTAGTAGTCTGTATAGCCGGCCGTCTTGTCTTTTGAGTCTAGTATGTGGGTTCCACGTAAGAAATTCTTTATTTGTAGCAAATATTTCCTAGAATCACTGATCATTGTAATAGTAATTTAAAAACGTTTTAACTTGAAGATCCAGGGATGACTGTAAAAAATGAACATTTTGTTTACAATATTGAAAAGCTTTTGATATTTCTTTTTTTAATGCTTATGAAATGCAAGTTTCATTACATTCCTTGAGAGAAAAAACTTACAGTTTCGTAAATAAACTTATTTGCACACAATTTTTTTAAATATATAGGTTCGAGTTTTGGGTTTTTTTTTTTTTTTTTGGTCTTTTTAAATAATATCACTATTGAATCGATTGAGTATTTTAACATAGGAGTCGATTCTTATCTCGATTTCCAAAAAATCTATTAAGGTTCACTTTGTAAATAAACATAAGACAAAAGAAATCAGGAATATGAACATTTTGTAAAGGAAATCATATGTTTTTAGTACCGCAATAAATAGTTGTACTTTCTTTTCATATTCCGAAGAAAAAAAAATTATGGAATTGAAATAATCAGAAACCGACAAACTAATTTTAAAAACTTTACAAATTTTATTTTTATTGATAGGCCTTATAAAAAACTTTTAAAATAAGTAGGCTCCTTAATCCTAAAACTAGAGAGAGCACATCTCACATCATCTGAAATAATGAACCATCAACTAGAAACAGCGCGTCTCTCCAAGACTATTCTACTAACACATTCTATCCTAAGGTGAAGTTTAAATTGACGGATTATATGAATTATGTATTAAATGATTATATATATATATATATATATATATTGAGAAATTAAACACTATTAATAATAAGAACGATATTATTGAAAAGATAAAAGATCTGTTTTCATATCTTTCAATAATTTTGAGTTTTAACTTTCCCAAATTTCAGTATACAATAAGGAAAGGATGTTAGCAATGAGAGAGTCGCTATCAAAATAAAAGGAACTTCCTGGTTAAAATATGTAATTGGCATGTCTGCATAAGAAAATAAAAAATAGAAACTGACCGTTACCCTTCCTTGTCTAAAAAGATAACTGTCTAACATTCTTCATTGATAAGATTATTAATTAAAGTGATATAATTTGATTTCGATGGTACAACGTTTAAGTCATTTGGTCCCGCTTTCATATGGCCAATTTATATTTTTTAAATTATTAATTTAAAAATTTAAATCATCAATTCAGAGGTTGCCAATAAAAATCTCCATGAATGCAAATAAATTTTGTATTTGTTACATTTTACTCTTAAAGTTGACGTTTCGGGATCCATTTTCCCATCATCAGAACTATCCTTACAATTCATCATTATATAAATAGACAAACACAAATCGATTCAGCCCCTTTTACTCCTCTATTATTCAACCAATTTTCTTCCTTCTTTTTTTGTTTAATAGATATTGACGAGCTTTAATGTTATCAATAAATAAAAAGATTAAATAGTATGTGAATACAAATATAAATGGTAGTTTGTTCAAAGCGGCTTATCTCCGAAAGTTCTTTACCGATTGTTTTTTTTTATTTTGACACAACGTCGCAATAATATTTAGAAGTTTTTTTTATACGTTTCATTATCATCGTGTCTTTCCTTTCGAAATGGCGGCCGAAAAACGTGATTCGCTTTAGAATGTAGCGCCAATACGGGTTCAACGATTTCAATGAAACTTGGCTAAAGTCTTCCCATTGAAACCTTTATAATTTATGTATATAACATACTTTCCCGAAAACAGGCTGCATACATTTTTATGATTAATTCAGTATTTTATTTGCGAATAACTCAAAAAGTAAACATTTTTTTACGGATAATACCCATATTTATTTGAAAGCTTTCTTGATTTCCTACAAAATAATAAAAAAAAATCATCGAAATCGGACTATTTGTTGCAGAGATGTATCATTTTTAACATTTAGTACTTTTTCTTTCCCTTCCAAATTCGATTTCTTTTATTTTGTTTTTTGATAAATCGAAAAGTTTTCATTTACTGAGGTGATTGGGTCTATTATTTGAAGAGATGATATCATGTAATGATACCTAATAAATTTAATTTAAAAATATATTCTATAGTTATACTCATTGTTAACTTAAATACTGCACAAGCATTAGATAATGGAACAGGAATGAGACTGAAGTATTAACGGAGTCTACTTTAAATTAAACAATTTTAATTCCAAAAATTAATTTAACATTTTCTGACACTATACTTACATTCGACTTTCAAAGAACAACGTTCCTATTAATAGCTGCATTAGCTATGACCATAATCAAATCGCAGGATAAAAGTTTTGGAAAATGTGTATATTATTGTGACGTTCAGTAATTTTGCATGGACAATTATATGTGGCAGCAATTAGAGCACGTTCATTTAAAATATTGAAATTTATATTTTCAATGGCAATGGGTATGGCTATGCACTAAACAATAACAGAACACTCAAAAAGAACATTATTTACATAGAAGTTCTGAATAAAAATCGATTGAAAGTGAATTTAAATTGCTAATTTAAATTTATTTTTTACTTGCTTAATCATAACATTAATTTATTGTGATAATAACACACATAAATTAAAATGAAAATTAAATATTTTTGAATGAGTATTTTTTGTATTACTCATAAATAATTTTAAATGACTTAAGCTCGATTTTTAATTGAAATTGAAATTTTGTTTGTATTAATAAATGAGGATTTTTGAATAGTGATTTACTCTTTATTTATTTGCTTCATTTTTTATTAAATTATATCTTTTCCTCAAATTGTTAATGGCTATGGTCGAATTTCGACCACTAGTTTATATGAATTTCCATGTGTGCTCTTTCGTCTCATGTTAAGCAATCAGAGGTGTTATCCAGAATAAGAGTTGGCGATTTTTTTTTTCATAATTATAAACAGTCAAATATGCTATTAGCAAATGGTAATTCTTCCACATTTTTGTATTAGCCGATGATGAAACTCGCTACTATATATCATAAGTGCCAATGTTAATGAATTACTGTATTTCGAAAACTGCTTCTGCGGAATCGAAACATTATGGGTCTGGAAATATAAGTGAATGTATAATAAATGAAAATAATGAGAAAGCTGTACTGATCTTACTTGAGAGGCGTTTTTCGATTTTAGTGAACCTCGCTCCTACTTCCACGTCCTTCAAGCAAAAAATTGTTTTGTTTTTTAAACAACGATTGAATAAATTTCTAACGGATCATATAAACTTGGTTGTAGCTTTTTGTTTTATAATACAAATTCAAATTTTCTATTTTATTATACTATGGAACGCAAACAGACTGAATCAACATAGAACCGAACTAGACATATATTTTCACGAGAAATGCATTGACTTTGCACTAATACCATAATAAATCTGACACCACATTCTAAATTTTACATCCATGGTTACAAAATCCATCACAATTACCCATAACGCCAGTGATTCAAGCTACAGCCATTACACT